TCAACGTTGTAATTGATAACATATGAACATGTTCACATGCTATCAATACTGCAGTATTGATAATGATAGTGATAATAGACCAAGTAATAGACAATACGAACATGGGGCAGAGTTTCAAAACATGAATTCAAAGCCAAATCAAACATCGAGAATGTGGGCCGATTTTATACCATTGGTGTCGTTAATAACTACTTTTGTTGCCAGAAATAATGGAACAACCGATGTTAAAGTGAGTAAAAAACGGAAAAATGTGCCTTAAATTCAGTTCAGGTTGTTTTACTCGAAAAATATTCGGGATGAAATTGATTTTTTTCTTCGAAGAATCAAAAGTTGATAACGTTTAATTTAATCAAAAGGTGAATTCAATTGAATTTCATTGGAAATGTCTTTTTCATTTTCATTTGAAGCCGAACGAGAAACTTTAATGAAATTTCTTGAACTGAAACGAATTTTTTGAAAAAAAATTTAGTTGAAATGAAATTAATTGTTCAACATACTTGTCTAAACAAAATGTCGCTTAATTTCGCTCATTTAATACTTGAATGATTTTTAAAAAAATAAAAATTGATTTATATGTGTTTTCTGTGTCATTCTTATCGATCTGCCTCCGATTCAGTCCGAGATAGCGTCGGTCACAGTCGAAAATGTACTAAATTCACCGGCTTGTAATTTCCAAAGCAATAAAACAAAACTCACTGAATTAAGCGCTGACTGTCAATCGCTTATGTTGAATTTGGGTCTAGAAAATCTCATGAACATTGCTGAAACGAACAACACACTATCAGCACTTGCTGCGGATGTGTTTCATCAAAAATATTCAAATTGCACCGTTGAAATAGAAAATAATCTTCCATCGCAGTTCAAATCACTACTGATGGAGGAAGGAATTGAAGGAGCGAAAGGCGAAAGGGTGATTACCATATTTGGTTTGGAAATGTCGTTGAAATTTTTAAGGAATTTTGGGTCAGCTATTCAAAAGCTAACCATTCAAAGTGAACGATTTTGGGTGAATGAAGAGCAAGCAATCATGGACTTTGTCAATAAATACTGCGCTCAATCATTGATTAAATTGGAATTACAAATAACTAGACATGATACGATGAAAAAACTGACCGGACCGTTCACAAATGTCGAAGAATTGAGTTGCAATGTCATTGCCAGTGATATTCCTGAAATTACAACACACAACCATGCAACTTTGAATAAATTTTTCCCAAACATACGCAATTTGTCGCTTTCGATCAAATCCAACACAGACATTGGCTTCGTCGGTAGTCTACCGCATTTGAGGTCCTTGAGTCTAAGCGGTGATACAACCACACCGCAAACAATTAGTGACACGAGATACACCCAACATCTAATGAATAGAAATCCTCAGATTAAAGCACTTAAATTGGTCTTTTATCCACCTAATTTCGTTCGAGTGGTCAAATTGTATTTGCCGGATTTGGAAAGCCTATCACTTTGGTTCTATGACTTGGGAAATGATCATGTTCACTTTGAACATGTCAAATCATTTGAACTACTGTCGGCAATAGGTGGATCTCCGTTGCAAATATCGTTCCAGCAATTGGAAGAGCTTCGAATGTTGTATCAACCTCTGTATGCAGAGGAATGGATTGAATTTCTTACAATAAACACACATTTAAAACGAGTACATGTCGAAGATTATGGTGAAAATGAATCCACATTGAATCTAGAGAGTCTTATAACACAACTACCGAATATTGAGGACATTTCGATTTTGACCTACAAAAGCGTCCATTTTGGAACTGTGGTCAAGTTCATCGAAACACACGAATGGTTACAAAGGTTTGAATATGGTTCGAAGAACTTTAATGAACATGACACCGAATATCTGAAGAAATTATTCGACAAAAATTGGACGTTTAGTGACTGTAACATGTATTATAAAGGTGTATTGCTTGAACGGAAAAATTCAACAGGTTAAAATTAGTTTTGAATTTAATTTGACAGTTTGATTTAGATGTTAGTGAATTTTATTGGAAATTTGTCTTTATTTTGATTAAATAAATAAATCTATTGTTTAGACAATGAACAAACTTTAATAAATATAGTAAATGAATTTTAGGTACATTCAATGATCAGCCCAGGTGCTTAAAATTATAATTTTTACATTGCTAACTTAATATCAAGCTTTGAAAGTATTGCCAGAGCCGTTCAAAAATGTAAACCGTGAAACAATTTGTCAATGTATTTCCGGATGTTCGCCGTTTCGCTTCTAAAAACATCAATTCGCTACCTTAGCTCACTTGATTTGGGAGACAAGAATATTCACTTCAAACATTGTGAATTGCGTCGTACCTTTTGTTTTTGGGCATTGCTTGATCATACCTACTGACTCTTGTTTTTTTTTCTCGACACCAAATCAATCAATATCAACGTTCTAATTGATAAGATATGAACAGCAATGAAAATGATAGTGATAATAGGCCAAGTAGTAGACAATACAAACCTATGTAGAGTTTCAATAGATGGATCCAATATCAGTCAAAGCCAAATCAAACATCAAGAATGTGGGCCGATTTTATACCATTGGTGTCGTTAATAACTACATTTGTTGCTAGAAATAATGGGACAACCGATGTCAAAGTAAGTAAAAAGCGGTAAAATGTGCCTTAAATTCAGTTCAGGTTGTTTTACTCGAAAAATATTCGAGATGAAATTGATTTTTTTTCTTCGACGAATCAAAATGTGATAACGTTCAATTTAATCAAAATGTGAATTCCATCGAATTTCATTGGAAATGTCTTTTTCATTTTCATTTGAAGCCGAACGAGAAACTTTAATGAAATTTCTTGAACTGAAACGAATTTTTCGAAAAACAATTTTTGTTGAAATGAAATTAATTGTTCAACATACTTGTCTCAACAAAATGTTGCGTATTTTCGTTCATTTCAATCTTAAGTAAATTTTTATGAAAGAAAAAAAAAGATTTATGTGTCCTCTGTTCATTTTTTCTATCAATTTACTTCCTATCCAGCCGGAGATATCGTCGACCAAAGTCGAAAATGTGACCGATATGCTAGTTTCACCGATATGTAATTTTCAAGGCAATAACACGAACTTTGGTGAATTAAGCGCCGTATGTCAATCATTTATGTTGAATTTGGATCTAAAAAATCTGCTCGACATTGCTGAAACAAACTACAGACTATCAGCACTTGCTGCGGATGTGTTTCGTCAAAAATATGCAAATTGCACCGTTGAAATAGACAATGATCGTTCATTGTCGTCCGAGTCAAATGCCATCAAAGAAATTAACCAATTTCCGGTGTTGATGGATGAATGGACAATTCTCGTATTCGGTTTGAATGTATCATTGAAATTGCTAAGGAATTTTGGGCCAGCTATTCAAAAGTTAACCATTCATAATCAACGTTTTTGGGTGAATGAAGAAGAGCATGAGCAAACAATCATGGGTTTTGTCAATGAATATTGCGCTCAATCATTGATCAAATTAGATTTGCAAATAACCAACCCTGATACGATGAAAAAACTGACCGGACCGTTCACAAATGTCGAAGAATTGGGTTGCAATGTCATTGCCAGTGATATTCCTGAAATTACAACACACAACCATGCAACTTTGAATAAATTTTTCCCAAACATACGCAATTTGACGCTATCGATTAAATCCAATACAAACACTGGCTTTGTCGGTAGTCTGCCGCAATTGAAGTTCTTGAGTCTCAGGGGTGATACAATCACACCGCAAACAATTAGTGACACGAGATACACCCAACATCTAATGAATAGAAATCCTCAGATTAAAGCACTTAAATTGGTCTTTTATCCACCTAATTTCGTTCGAGTGGTCAAATTGTATTTGCCGGATTTGGAAAGCCTATCACTTTGGTTCTTTGACTTGGGAAATGATCGCGTTCACTTTGAACATGTCAAGTCATTCGAATTACTGTCAGGAATAGGTGGATCGCCGTTAAAAATATCGTTCAAGCAATTGGAAGAGCTTCGAATGTGGTATCAACCACGATATGCTCAGGAGTGGATCGAATTTCTTATGATGAACACACATTTAAAGCGAGTGCATGTCGAAGATTATGGTGACAATGAATCTACATTGGATCTAGAGAGTCTTATAACACAACTACCAAATATTGAAGACATATCAATTTTGAGCTACAAAAGCCCCCATTTTGGAACTGTGGTCAAATTTATTGAAACACATGAACGCTTACAAAAGTTTAAGTATGGATCAAAAAACTTTGATGAACATGACATCCAGTATCTGAAGAAAGAATTTAGCAAAAAATGGACGATTAGTGACTTTAATGGGTATTATAGTGGCTTATTATTTGAACGAAAAAATTCAACAGCATAAATTCGTTTGTGGATTTAATCGGATGGTCTAATTTTTTCAGATTTTAGTGAATTTTATTTGAAATTTGTCGTTATTTTGATTAAAGAAACAAATCAAGTATTTGAACAATGAACAAACTTTAATTCGTAAATTATAATAAATGGATTTTAGATACATTCAACGGTTAACTTTGCTTCACAGTGTGCATACTGGACTTTAAACATACTTTCATTTCTTTTCTTCTTGAACTTTTTCACTTCTTTTGCATCACATTTTTGTTTCTTTATTTTTCATATTCTTGCTTTGACCTTCAATTCAATCGAATTGATTTGTGTCTATTTAGTGATAGCTTACTTATCTTACAGACATAACACAGCTCATGATAAGATATTGAATACTAATGATTAGATTAACAAAACAAAACAGAGTCACTTTTTTGGTTTAAAATTAATCGTCTGAAATTTACAAACAACGCTTTTTTTTCATAAACGTCCATCAAATTAAGCTTGTCAATTGAATGATTGGATTGCACACGGTAAGGTTATTAGATTGTTATCATCATTTCTATTTGTTGAGTTTGAGTTTTATCGCGATCGCTATCGGTCACAGTACAATCAGTTCGAAAAGCCCTAAACACGCAATCGATTGAAGCAGATGGCTGAGACAAGTCCATTTCCACCATCGTCAAATCGAACAATAGTGTCTTCTATTTCAATGACATCATCTAATATCATATCTAGTTTGAAGTAGCTCATGTCACACTGTTCCAAATGAATTTCATACAAGCAATCCGGTTTCACTGAAATGGGATCGGGTAATCTAAACGATGTTCTCCTGTCATTGAGTGTGACTGATCCACTGAAAATAACGTTGCACTGTGGTGAATTGGCAATATAGGTCTTTTGAAAAATTGTGATGTTGCTCTTGCAAACGCATTTCGTTGTGAAGTCACTCTTCGGAAATTTTATCTCGACAAACCAGAGTTCGCCAAGTAGAAGTGGTTTATTGGTGCTAAAGACTGTAATTTCATTCCGTTGAACTCGACGTTTTCTCCACCATTCATTTGGATCCAATGGATCATCTCGTCTGACACACACGAACCGTTTGGGATCCCATGTGAATGGTTTCAATCGAAGGCCACCATGAAACCGTTTCGGTGAAAATTCTTTTGAATTGAACAATTGAAAGAGCTCTTGCCAATCATCGATGGTAAACCTAATGCCAGATGAAATGGCAAGTGTGTTAAACTCGGCCAATGTCATCGATCGAAAGCGGATTTGATACACAAGATTACCGAGTTGTTGGCGTAAATTGTGTCCATTGTCCGAATTCAAGCCTTTTCGTTCACAGACCGCCTTCGACCAGGTGATGCACGCATTGAATACAGTTGCTTCATCGCACGTCAAACGATCCTGTGACAAAATATGATGTAGAGTCGACCGATCACATACAAGGAAGTCTGACAGTTTAAAGACTTCTTTCGTGTTAAATGCGATCTCTTCTTCGCAGTATCCCTTTAAGTCGTCTTGATTCAGCCACACAGCCAGTTGGTGGCCCCAGAAAAGTTTTTCCCTGGTAAATTCCGCCTTTAGTAACATCTTGAATGCACTTGAATGGTCACGAATATTGAATGTTTTGAGCATTTGCATCACTTGCAACGCATTTCCACCACTCAATTGGGCATGATCCATGTAGAACAGCTGTAAAAATTCTTTGAACGCCTCTGATGTCACTCCAACAATTTTATACAGACGATATTGCTTGTCGTAATCAAAAAATAAAAGGTTGAAAACGTCATTTGCCATGAAGAGCACGTGCTTGTGACCAGGAATTACTTCGATTTGCCCAGATTTAGACACACATTCAAAGTGAATGTCAGCCTCGGCGTCCGGATAAAGTTTTTCAAACTGTGATTCCAACTTGATTCGTTTTGCCATTGTGTCGAGATTATTTTGATCGAGAAGTACTGCGATTACTTTGTGATTGATGCGTGGCACTTTCAAATGTTAGCCTAAAATCTAAAATTGAAGCAAAGACATTTTTTTTGGTAAAATTGTTGAATAATTGAACAGTGAACACTGAACATTGAAAAAAATGAAAAAAAAAGTTCCATGATGACAAAAAAAATTGACTTACTAGAAGAACTTCGTTCGACAATTTGTTGGTTTGACACCAACTTTTGACACCCAGTCTTCTTCTTTATTTGTTGGTTTTTTTGCCCTAGCAAAAATATTTTTCTATAAAACTTTGTTGATCGGAAAAAAATCTATCGAATTTTTCTTTCTCGAAAAGAAACACCAACGAGTAGAAACTCATCCAAGGTTCTTATGGTCAGTAAATAATTCTTATTGGTCGTCTTTAATTCTCTGGAGAAATTCTTATTACCCAAATAGAAGGATGACAAGAGAGATTCAACAAGAAAATCGAATAGAAAACTTAACCTGAAAATGTCTGTGAATTGCGATGCAATGTGCAATGGTTGGACTTTAGTTATGTGTGTGAGAAGAGTAAGTTATGTGTGCGAAAGGAGTAAAAGAGACGGTTTGAAAGGAGCGAAAAAAGGAGTGAGAGAAAGACGACTTTCGAGTAGTACACTTATTCACTCTAGCCTTCTTCGCTATTTCGCCAAAGCCGCACTGCAAAATCTGCCGTCGAAAAAATTCCCACAAAATCTATCCACAAATATTAACAATGTAGGTAAAATGACATTTCGCCGACAATTTTAATACAATGGAGGTAAACTGATATTTTGCCTACAATGACGAAAACACAGTGGGTAATTTGATGTTTTACACTATATGTTTTTTTAGTTTGCCTCCTTTGAATTCTGAGAGTTCTTGATTGCCTTAATACTGGATGAATCAAAATTAGTTTTATTGAATCTATTCACTTTCTGATGATTTTAATCCAAAATTCCCATTTTTCAATCGAAACCCTCAACAATTTCAATTAATTTCTCCAATCAACAACGTCACTGTGAAGCTCAAATTCAAATAGCAAATGGTCGATAAAGCAGTATCGTTCCAATGCCGAACCATTCCACAAATGAATTTGACAGTTCGATCAATTCATCCGTCAATGTTATTGTTGTGTCGGTGTATGCGTGTGTTGTGCCCATCACATCGTTGTGCAGTACTGTTGTTCAGTCGAAAGTGTGCATTCCATAGTTGTAAACCCCAAATACATCATACAGGCACATCAGTGTGGTACGAAACGTCACCAAGTGTTCGCATTAAATGGGAAGAAAGAAAAAAATCACACAGAAAAAAGACAATTACGTGTTTGTAAATGAAGTAGAAACAAACAACAAATAAATAAACCGTGTGCAGAAATACGGGGAAAAAACACAAATAAAGTTAGCTGTTTCATGAGAGAAAACATTCTTCAGAGCGTTTTTTCGTCTTGATTTCACCAATTTTCTTAAACGATCGAAACAAAATGGGCATCGCAACGTTTCAGCACCATTTATATTAGAAAAGTGTCATTTTATGATTGAAAGAAGGAACAAAAAAAATAACAAAGCAAAATTTAAAGAACCTGACTACTGTGAGCAAAAGCTGTGTCGTTTATGTGTGCATGCTATCATGAATTCATAAGCGATTTTGAATTAGCATTTTATGCAAATTCAATTCAGAATTTATTAATGTAGTCACAATTGAAGTGAGTGTGTTGCCTGTTGTTCTAAAACGCTACAAACATAAAGTGTGCCGCGACTCGCGACAAAAAAAAACGGGAGAGCAGACGATTCTGGCTTTTATTTACTTTTTCGGAGAAATTTGCACACTCCAGTTGGATTGAAGGTGGTTTTTTATTTCGTCGTTTCATCTCCAACATTCTCTTTGACATTAGCGACGAGTGTGCGAATCAATTTACATGGTGCCCGTTAATTGGCTGCTGTTTACTCGAATAGACATGCAAAATGCTACGATTTATCAAAAACGCAGGTATGAAAACGACAAATTAATGTACTGCGGTGACAAACATTCAGTTTTTTGTTCTCATTTTTTTCCCTCTACTTATGAAGAAAGTTCCATGTTTTTTTTAGCATGTGTGATTTTTTTCTCTTGCAAAATGTGCAATGCACGTCTTTACGTTTAATGCGCTTTTGCGCGTCTTTTTTCCACTTTGTTTGTTTTCATTCGGTGGTTATGCTGTCGCTGCTGCTGATGATGATGTGATGTTGTTGCTATTATTGGTGTTGTTGTCACATACACGCACAGACGACGAGTAGAAACTCATCCAACTACTTTACGCGTATCTTTTCTTTTTTGCTTCTCTCCAGCCAACTAATGCGTTTCTCATCTGTATTTTTTGTAGGTCGCAACAGACCCATCGTCAAATCACCGTCGTTGAACATCGAACGTAGTGATGTCACCGACAGTGTTAATCAGTCGCAGGGCGGCAACGATCAACAACTACTCACTCACATCGAACAACTCATCTTAAACGATGAAAGTAAGTATTGGATGGCTTTTTGTTTGTTTGACGAAGTGTGAACAGTGGGTTTTTGTGTGGAAATGACAAGTTTCGATTTTATGAGACATTTTTGATAGAGACAATTCTATTTCTAAGAACGATTTTTAAGGGGAATGAGTATTTTTGAATGAATTTTGACGTTTTTGAGAACAACTCAATCAAATTGAGAATTTGTTTGTCATTAACACGGTCGTCGACATTTTTAGATGCTTTTAGAACAAATAGTTTTCAGCTGAATATTTACAGTCTTTGTTGATAAGTTTCTTGTTTGACAGCTACAACAAGCCAATGGTTTCATGAAACTAATTTGTGGATTCAATTGAAATAACATACTATAGTATGATTTCTATAGGAATCAATTGTGTGCAATTTAATTTTATTACCTTTATAAGAGGTTGTTTTTATCTTCTTTTATTTTTATAAATTTTTGGCGAAATTTACGAGCTTTTTTCCTTCGAACCACAAAATTCTCGTGACTCAACAACAAATTCTTCTGAATGTTGGAAAATTTCAATTGGTTTGATATTTTTTCGTTCTAAAATTAAGAATTAGAATCTAAATTCTCATTTCTCAGCTTATTTTTGATGAAAATTTTAAATTATTTCATGAAAGATGAAAAAAAAATCCCACTCTGACCTCGTTAACTTTTGAAAAACTACAAAAAATACAATTAAAAATTCACTTATCAAATACTAATTTTTCTCTCTCTCCCATCTTTCCTCCCCACAGATGACCTCGATGTGGAGATGGTATCACCATCGACGAAAAATATCACGCGAATCGTGAGCGATCGGAGTTGTTTGTGTTATTTTGTGCAGTATTTGGAGCAAAAGTCAGCGTTGCCTTTGATTCGATTTTGGTTGGATGTGGAGAGCTTTAAATCATCGGCGGAGCAATGTGGTCAGCATCGGAATCGTATAAACAAGCGTACGAGTGTAAAGTCTGCCATCGGTCGAAGTGTATCGTTGGATGGAATGGCAATGCATCGTGATGATTTCTACAGTGCATACCATGATGAGATCGACGAGCGAAATGAAGTGAATCTCAATGAGTTGCCTTCGGAACGTGACAATGGTGACGGGAGTAGTGATGCGAATTCCATGACAAATTTAAGTGATATTTATGAGCGTAACGATGACGAACAGTTGGAATCGTTGTCAATGGACGAGGATATGGGTGCACAAAAGATATTGGAAAATGGGCGAAAGAGTGCAACTGGAGCGTCATCGCATGGTGATGAGACTGAATGTGAAAAATCTGGTGCGGCTTCAAAGATGCCAGCAACGGTGACAGCGATGACGGCATCGCTAACCGTCGATGCGATTCGAATTTTCAAAAAATACTTGCTCGCTGGTGAATTGACTAGTCTTGTGCGAATACCAACGAATATCCTATCACAAATCTCACTGGCGCTGTGCGTTCAAAATGATGACACTGCCAAAGGCATCGACGAAACGGACAAACATTCAAAGTTGAGCATATCCAGCGAATCGATACCACTGTCAACGTCACAATTGGAAGAGAAACATCTAATCACCGTGTTCGATGAGGTGCAAGCATTTATTTTGGATTATTTAGACAAATTGTACACAAGTGACTTCCTCGAGAGTGCATTCTACTATCGATTTTGTATAGAAAACACGGGCATCAATCTCAAGGTCACCGACATTCTCTACAATGAGTTGGCCCTGTTTTATTTTATGGAATTTTTAGAAGTGGAAAATAAGCGCCAGTATTTGGATTTTTGGTTAGCAGCCATGAATTTTAAACGACAATTGGATACACCGATTACATTTGATGACCTGGATAAAGAATCAATGGACGGTGTAAATGATTGCGGTACAATTGAACAAAGCCAAAACGATGCCTTGATTTTGTATGAAAAGTATTTTTCGCTGCAGGCCACGTGTCCGTTGCGGATGTCGGATCGGGTACGGTTTCGTGTTGAAGAGAAAATCTGTTCGATTGATGATTGTGAACCGATTGCACACTGTTTTGATCTTCCGTTAGCAATAATTGAGCGATTTTTAAGTGAGAAATTCTTAAGACCATTCGAACGTTCGCCACTTTTCTACAAATACCTTGCGGAATTGACACAAAAAATGGAAGCCATGACCAACAAAACAACGCCCAAAACTATCCAAACAAGTAATTCCGATAGTGAAACGCACAATAGCCGAAAATCAGCACAAAAAGATTTTGCACAAACAATTTCCGCGAAAAATACATTGCTTGCTATGGAAAGTGTGAAGAAACGGACTCATCAACGCATTAAATCCTCCGATATGTGCATCGATTCACGTCAATTACACGATCCGGATCTACTGTGGCGACGCAATTCAACCGGTGGTGCACTGAAATTTGGCCATGTCAACGAAATGGGACGCTATGAACGGGATTACGATATGACACCCTGTGATAAAACCAATGGTCACGTTTCCAATGCCAGTGGCGCAAACATCGATGCTAATCAAATCATCCAAAACACTGGCAATAAAATCAAACGAGCCGTTCGCAAACTCGTTCATATGCCCGAGCAGTGCATGCAAGAGGAGATCGCCTGGCAAATGGCCGAAATGATTGTTAAAGATATCACTAGCATTACACTACAAACGAACCAAGTTCCAAAAGAAACGTTTTAACACAACTCTCTTTTTTTTCTGTGCAAAATGCAATCTCATTTTGTTTTTTTTTTTGTTTTTTTTTCTGTGCAAAGATGATAATGATGATGATATTATTTAGTGAATTTGAATCACTGAACCAAACGACAGGAATTGTTTATTGACCCAGGATACATGTATAAGAAGAAAAAAACAATACATTTTGTTATGAGAGATCTGAGCAAATATACAGATTATATTTAAATTCTTTTTTTTCCGTTTAAATACTTTGGAGCAAGTCAGTGTGGTCGGGTGGCGATGAGCGAATGAGATTCAAGCCAAACAACACATTTTTTTTCAATTCTTTTGGATATTGGACCAGAATTCATTAAACTACCGAATTTATTTGTTTTTTTTTTATTCGCCATTTTCATCATTTTTGGACTCTTTTTTATTCGCCAATCGCCACTCACCCATCACGTCTCTCATTTTAAAATTCAGTTTATATAACTATTGTAAATTATTTTCGTTACTGAATTACAAATAAATTTTAACAAAAAAAAAATCTTAGAAATTAACATTTAATACAAAGAAAATTAAAAACCGTTTTTTTTTATTCCGAAAATTTGGCTTAAAAATAATTGAGCTATACATCTTTTTACAGATTAAAATTGCTTCTTTGGTAGTGATCAAATTGTTTTTTTTTTTTATTTAAACTTCATTCGCCGCTTGATATGGACCATGATAATCTTTTATTATGTAGAAACTGTCGATTATGGCACCTTCCTTGTCGTCAGACACTTGCTCAAAGTACAAGTGCGAACGATTGTACGCCTTCATTCTGGTGTAGCCATAATCCTGGAAGAGGTAAGAGAAGGAAATTAGAAGTAATTTTAGAATTTTATACATAAAAGGAGAATTTTCTCGAGAAAATAGATAGAAGATCTTTTAACGGTCAATTTTTGTTCACCCAGATCAAAATTGTTTTTGTTTTTTCAATAAATTTTTATTTATTTATTGAAGAAAATAATTTTGAGTGGAAAATTGAAAAAAAAAAACAATTGAAAAACGGACAAAGTTTGGAACTAAAACAAGAAAATTTAGAAGAAAAAAATTTAAAAAGAAAAAAATCAGAACAAAGCAACGTTTACATTAAGGCTAAGAAGCAATTTCAGAAAATGTCTAAAAATTTATTTCAATTTTTTTAATGAAACACTTCTCGTTTGTTGAAGAAATTGTGAAGGAAAAAAATTCAATAACAAATCATAAATTGAAATAAATTAACAGAAAATGTCGAAAAGAAAATTTAAAGACAACAAATTCATAAAAAACGATAAAAAATTAAAAAAGAGAGAAATTAAGAAATGAATTTCATTAAAAATCATTGATAAAAAAAATTCTAATGAAATTTCGCAAAATTCGACTTTAAATTCGCATTGAATCACATTGCATCACACAAGCTCACCTGACTATGAAAAGCGCTCCAGTTGGGAATTTTCTTTAAGAATGGTTCACGGCCTTCTTTGCAACCAGCTGATCCCGTCACTAGGTGCACTGGAGCCTTTGGATTTGTATATGGTGCCTCATAAGACCCATTTTTGACCATGTAATCGTAAATTGGCCAAAGACGTTCATAGCTATGTTCGTGTGCCCAGATTTCGACATCAACACCGTACTGATAGAAGAGTTCCTCCAGACCAAAAAAGTGTGTGAACGGTAAACCAACGCGAACTAATGTTTCCAAATGCGTACAATCGTCTCCGTTTTCATTACTGCAGTACATCGGCCGATGACCGAACGTAATGATCCATGGTCGGAGTTTTCTGTGAAGAGAAATTGAGAAATTGATATGAATAAACGTTACTATTGATGTAAATCAACGTTTGGAATCCCCAATTGTGAGTGTAACAAACCTGTTCTCTGGTTTATTAGCTTCGATGAGGTCTTTCTCAAGCCATTCGTATTGGTTGACCAATGTTTTTATGCCGTAATTCATGAAGTAGTAAACTTCAGTTGAGAATCCGACGAAATGGACTGGACCGAGATTAAAGCTGTACATCAAATTCTCGGTTCGATGTGGCATTGAAAAGCGGGCTCGGTAGTTCGAGAAATTGCTGGAAAATGGAAAAAGATGTTCGAAACTAGTTAGTAAGTAAATAGAACGAAAAATGCATGTAAAACAAAGGATTTTGTCCAAGGGAGGACGATTCTCAGAATTTCGCCTTGAAAAAGTTATTCAAAAAATCTCTCGTGGTCACAAATGGAAAATGAAGACTCACTATCGTTCCTCATGATTGCCGGGCACAACCATATACGGCAGATAGGCTGCAATTGGTTCAATTTGTCGCATAAATTGATCTCCAACCAGAGAATTATCCGAGTGCATATCATAGGCAAAATCGCCGACATGAATGATTGCATCGTACATTTGTCGTTGAGATTCGCCTTGAAGTCGTGGCAGTGATTGTGCATTTTCATTGCCCATATCGCCAAACAGGGCTATATGCGGTGACCAGTCGCTGTCGGTTCGAGGCACAACGAACGAGAATTCTGCTGACCATCCCAATTCACTTCCACAGTGATAAACATAGCGCATTTCCGGCGTTAAATCTGATAACAAAACCTGAAATGACGCAAAAAAAAAGTTTTAAAAAAATAATTGAGCATTCTAAAATGAGTCACTAACCCGATGAATATACTGCGTGTGTTTGGCCGGTCCACCGTCGACAAATTTCTCGGTTGTACCTGTCGCTTTCAAAATAAGTCCATTGATTCCATACTCAACGATCGCGCCATTTTCACCAACATCGCTCATTGTTGACCACGTGACAACGATCTCGTTCACATTTTCTACAAAGAATATGGATCAAAACAAAAACAGCGCAGAGAGATTAGGTCAAATTCCATTCATTCTGTTTACACAAATGGTTGGCTGGGCATACCACCGAATGCAATGTGTATCTGTTGCGGCTGATAATCAAATACGTCGTCGATTCCCTGATCGTGCATTGCACTTGCCATGCATAACAAATGAATCACGATCCATTGTAAATGCATTTTTATAGCCTGTGGGCGTTATGGGCTGTGTGTTGCACTTTGTTTCCAAAACAATCGCTTGAAGCTGCTACTGAACACCGATCTTCTCTGCAAATATAAAATTTTCAATCAAAATAAAACCATATAACATGCGAATCAATGCAAATAATCATCTCATTGTACTCAATTCAATGGTTCATGTTCAATTGACACCAACAGTAGCTAGCTGTTCCTTTTTACTGGAGTGAGAGAGATGAAGCGGAAAATGAATAACATGAACGCTTTATTTAGACCGGTTGAATTTGAATAAGGCTTTGTAAGACATGTTTTTGTGTGTAGTTTTGTTTAAAACCTTTTTTTTCCTTTTTTTCTATGTTCAACATGAATTGAACTTTGTTTTCTAGGCTTTTTATGATTTTTTGACTCATTTTTTCAACTCCAGGTTATTCCATTTTTTTTCTCTTTATTTTTTAACTCGAATTTTTAAATTTTAAATGTTTAAATATTTTTTATATTTTGATTGTTTTTTTTCATTTAGAAAATCGTTCATGGTTTCAATTAAGGGAAGCTCACAAACTAGGTTTTAGGACCTATGTTTTTTCTTTCAGAAAAAAAATTAAAATTAAAAAAATATCGAAAAAAAATAAAAATAACATAAAGTAGGAAAAAAGGCCGAATCATTTCAAACTTGACTGAAAAATGATTTTAAAAAAATAAATAAAAATGGAATATTTTCACGCCCACCATGAATGTGCGAAAAAGTAAAAATAAACTCGAAGATTAATTTCATTTAATTGTGCCACGATTTACGTTTTTGACGCAGAATTTATTTGTGGCAAAAATTGTACTATCGCTAATGAAAATGGGAATGCAGAAGTGTTTGAACTGAAGCACCACATGAAATTTATTTCTTAAAAACGCAACATGAATCGTCGCTTCGATAGAAATGTAATATGAATAATGTGAATTGTGAATATAATTTTCCGTATTTTCCGCGAAAATTATAAGAGATGACAAAATGTTATCTTGAACAAAAGCTATAGAATTGGTCAAGTCCTAAAACTTCGCTGAACACACTAACTTATTATCTCTCATCATTTTCGCGGAAAACACAAAAAACCATATTCCAAATTCCCATTTATCAAGTTACGTTCCTATCGAAGCGACGATTTATGAAACGTTTTTAAGAAGCAAATTTCATGTTGCGCTTCAGTTCAAACCCTATCCCATTTTTACTATCAACAACACAATTCTAATGGCAAAATTATAGCTTTCGACTTGTTCTATCTCAATGATTCACTAAATTGATAGTTCCATGATAGAACGTCCATTCCATTTTTTTCTCAGCAGTAAATTGCCTCCAGCGATATTGCGATACAGATAAAAATCGACTCTTTTTAACAGTGATAACTATGATGAATTATAATTTATCACAACATTAAAAATCCAAAGAATGGATTCAAAAGGTAGGAAATAGGTAAAAATGGGAATCATATTCCAAAGAGTTGAATAGGAATCATATCCAGAAACTGAATCCCTCTTTTTGTCTCACACAATAATACCTCTTTCAAATTAAATAATAAATTCACGGTGAATGAAATAAATTACCACTTCCTTGAGTAATAAGTGTGAAAATGTCAAGAAGAAATGAAAAAAAGTGCACTTGAATTCAGAGACAATGGGTTTTTGTCGCCATTGAAAGAGATTCAATGTTTGCATCAAGTACAATGAGACCGGTGGTATGAATATAGCTAGGGGGATTTAACTACGTGAAAACTTGTAAAAAAATGATATAAACGCGCACGAAATTGTTTCATTCACCAGAGAACTTGCATGATTCCACTCAGTTGACAAGTTCCGTATTAAAACAACATGCGCGAACTTGTGCGAGTTCGTGTGCAAACATGAAGCTGGACGATGCGCACACATCAGTCGTTCCATTTATTATATCTATCTGGATTAACTTTTTCTTCCAACACTTTCTCCAGCTCTTTAAAAATATTTCCTTTGTCCATTTTATAATTATATAAATCTTTGAACTTTTGGAAAGGATGTGAAAAATCTTTATACACGTAAACAACCGATTTTTAGTTTGTAACGCGTTTTAGTTGTCAAATAACAACTTGAAAAACGCGCAAAACCATAAAGAAACTTGTGTAAACTTGTGACCGTGCGCGTCAGTACGTACAACGAACGCGTCGAACTTCCGCGAATCAAGCAAACTGGCAGAAAACATGCTGAACTCGTAAGAGTTAAATTCCCCTAGGAATATAGCCGGAAGTTATGCATTTAGTGCAAGAAACACAAAAACTATCATTTCATCGTAGAAAAACAAAGGAATTGTGAATAGAAATCTGAAACCATGCATACTGACTGGTACCTAGACCATAGTCGTGACCTACGTATGGACAACAGAAATCATAGCTTATGGTAGCAAATTTAACGTTTGAATCTCAAATTAAACAAACATATCATACTACACTCTACGATCAAATTTTATTTGTCTCACGGCAGAAAGTCTCTCACGAAGTCTGTGATGTTTGTCAGCCATAGACTCTGCTATTCAAAAGACACATCGGAAAAAGCGAAAAGACTCTCCAATTCAAAAGACACCGTAAAAATGGATCAAATTGCTTTGTTTTTCTCTTCTTTTCATCGTCTTAAACTGAACTTGGCACTCTAATGGTCGTTTGAACTATAGCCAAATCGGTTGTTTTGCATACGAAAGTGTAATTATGATTGAAATGAATGTGTTTGTTCCCACCATAACAAAAAATATAGGTCAATATTTTGTTGAATAACTTTGTTTAAATACAAATCAAAACGGGTTTTCTTTCATTCTTCGGCAAAAAAAAAACGTCAAAAGAAGCACAAGAATATGAATAAAATAAAAAAAATGAAAGAAAAATGGAGAAAAAAATTTAAAAAATGAAAAAGAAAAATAAAAAACTTTATCTCTCTTAGGCACAAAGCGAATTGCGAAGAAGCAATAAAATCCAAAGACAATAGTCGATAATATTTTGTTGTAATATGCAACTGGATCATATTGTGCAATGGAAATAGCAATAAAATTTCCAAAATGACACGCGAAAATAAGGTGAAAAATGAAATTTAATCCATGCTAATCGAGTAGATAAAGTGAATTGTAATGAGCCGGTTTTAAAGCGTTCATGATTATTCATAAATAGAAATGAAGGTCAAAAAACATCCACTTATTAGTTATTTATGAATTACGGTACGTACCCGTCAACCTATTGATTTAAAGCGTCGAATAAGCTCGAATTGTTGTGTGAAGCTGAACACACGAATTGACCGAAAAGCGACGACGACCAACCGATGGTCAGTTGTCCCAATGAATTTTTGATAACACAACAGAAGCCAAATCCGATAATTTGTGCCGATTTTCGGCAATGATCCGAAATGACCGAAAATGACAAATTTTCAACAATTTTTCAACGAATAGGAACTCTTAACTAAAACTTTAAACCAACACGGGAGCATGAATCGCACAAAACCCACAACAATAAAAACAAAATTATCACATGCACAAATTGCTAGTTGTAATAGCGAGCGATAGCTTGGCAATTGTAAAATGAGGTTTCCATCAAATGACGCACTTCACTTGTCTTCAAAATCAACAGATTTTGTAAAAAAAAAAACTAAATGAAAACTTGGTTTTCTATCAAAGAAATTGCACTAGAGAGAGAGAGAGAGAATTGATATGGTTTTCAAAAGCATTCAATTGAATAAATATTATTTGTGTAAATTGTTTTCTTCTACCAATGTGACTGATAACGAGAGCAAAGCAGTAAAAAAACCACACACAATTCACAGTGTGTTTCTGTGAAGAAAGTCGCGTGTGAACAATAACAATGGTTGTGTGTTGACTAGTTGTTCAGAGGCTTGTGTCGATAAAAGCAACAAAAACAATTATGTCTTTGCTGTCATTCCAGTAAATCAGATGATCGCCGTACCGTGTGTAGCTGTCATATTATGGTGGTGTGTACACACGAGCTGCGCACTATTTTTGCCAGTTGTGTTTGGGGTCAAAGGCGCGCGCTCTGTTTTGAATATATTTTTTCTACGACGAAATTTCACATGATTTCCAAATTTCCTGAGTATTTTTTTTGTTGCTGCAAAATGTCGAACAAAAGGTGAGACGAAACGATTCGAAAGACGAAAATTGATGCCCAAAGAGGTGTAATTAAGGAAATTTGCATAATCTTCGACGGTGAAATGTGTTATTCAGACCGCTTTGACTCAATACAACCATCAATTTTTATCGAATTTCCAAAGAAAAATGTGAATTTCTCATCTTTTGTTTGGAATCAAATTCAACACATTAACTTCTTTCATTGTGAATTGGTTTCATTTCTTTCGGAAATTTTCGACTCTATTCTTCCCAACAATACAAAAGTCTGATTTGATACAGCAAATCTAATGGATATCGTACATTCCCCTCGTAAAACTACACCATTTTACTCACAGATGTCGCCACATTCTTCGTTCAACTTCAATCCATAAAAACCAATTGAACAATACAACACACACACACACGCACGCACACATGCAATTGTGATTCGTGTTAAAAATAGAGTGAGACCTTCGTCGAAACATCGGTCATTATTTACTGGGAAAAAAATGCATTAGTGGCCGCTTTTTTTTGTTTGTTTGTTACAAAATCGCTGCTTATCGCACTGCATGTCTAAATATAAATTGCATTTCAAGTGGCTCGTCTGTTGCGCTGTAATAATTAAGTGATTAAGTTGCTTTTTGTTGTGGCTTTGATTGGTTGTGTATAAAGCAGCGTGTGTGTATATATAGTGAATGCATTGCCGATTCGATGCCATGTAAATATAAACAAAAAATGTGGTTTTTTCCAGCGCATTTGCGATCTCTATGGCAACGCATACTCTCATTCGACTACTACATTGATGTGACGCTGAACTCTGTGTATCGCGTTCGCTAGCGCACGAGCCCACATATGATGCTCTCGGCTGTCTCGCTCCGGTTTTAGTGTATTATGTGTGTAAACTTTTTTACTGCTGCTGCTGCTGTCGATGTGTATATGCGGCAGTTCAACACCAAATAAGAGTGAGTACCCATCATTGTGCCATCATCATCATCGGATTCGGTCACCGTAAACATACAAAATCAGAACCGTAACACCAGTCGACTTCGCTGGATGCGTGAACGTAACGTGTGTCAATCAGATCGCTTCTTTTTTTTGTAGTGTGTAGAGAAAAGGTCTTTGGTTGTTTGGCGTTGTTTTTTTTTATGGTGCCTTATTTTCGATCGAAATTGGTGTTTTATTGAGGAAAGACGTGTTTTGATTGATACATTGTGCAAGTGTTTGGAAATTTTATGGAAGAAATTTATCATCACTGGATTTTAACTAGTAATTCTTCAACATTTGGAATGAAAAAGATTGATTATTTGAACGGATCGAAATTTGGCATTGGGAAGAGTAAAGCTATTGAAAATTTTTGAATTTTGAGTAAAAAAGTGTACATTTTGAATTAAAATATTTAAGTTTTGATTGAAAAGGTTCAAATTTTTGGAATCAATCATGTTTTTAAATCAATGTGAATCATGTTTTCGAATTAAAAAGTTTGTGTTCAGAATTGCTGTTTAATTCGACCGAACGATATAGTGTTTCAAACAATCAGCATTGTGCACTGTGCTGACAAGACTCTATAGCTCTTTACTGAAGTCTGATGTGTGTTCTTCGTTTAATCGGAGGATCTAAAGGCAATATTAAGTGATTATTGAACGACAAAGCGTGGCTTTGTGTGGTATTTGATGAAAGGCTGCATCGCCTGCTGTTTGTGTAAGCGTAAGTGCAAAGTGTATGACATTTAAAGGTCCCATCTATGGTATTTTTTTATCATAATTTCAGATGACATTCGAGCTAAACGACCGCCTCAAGTCGCGATTTCCGAACGATATTTGTTATTTAATATATAAGAACATTTAATTTGGTTTTTGTTGAGGAATATTTGGTAATTTTTCGAAAAAAAAAGAGTGAATAAAATGTGGAAAAAATCGAATTCAGCTCAGAAGAAGTAAAAAATAACGCTTGGTTACTACAGTCAACACTGTAGAGATGTTGAGTCAACATTGTTGACTAAGAAAAGAAGCGGAATTATTACCATTAGTGCACATATGAAGCGATTACATAAATTAGTTGATTGTTGAATAGAGCTCTAAAGAGTAGTCAGCTCTCAGTAGGTAACTCACTCTCAATAGAATCCCAAGTAATCGGCTTAAAGTGCCTGCAGAGACGTGAGTCGGTGTTCAATAAGTGGATTTAATATATATATATATCTACTTGATTTGGAACGATGAACTCTTGCCGTACGTGTCATATTTTGATGTATATGCGTTGTATGCAGCATACCCTGTATGCTATTTTGAAGATTTCACTTAAAACGGTTTCATTTGAAATCAACGCGACACTTCCTACTTAAGTGAGAAAATGGTTTGTTTCCGTTTCAAGACAATTGTGGTTCGTCAATGTAAAGAAATGAAAATCAATCTTGTCTGCGCGACAGCAAAACTCTCCATCGGGAGAAACGAAACGAGTGAAATAAAAAAAAAATGGACCGAAACAAACAAGATTCCATGCGTTCACATTCTTCACAACTTCCATTCGAAACACCAAATCTGCATGAGAATCAGAGTACAAATAATGACTTTGATTATAATATATAGAAATTCGCGGCCAGTTTCATTCACATCGAATTTGTGAAATTCCAAATGCGACGCAAACAAAAGACCATCATTGAAAAGATAAATAGAAAGAAAACAAGAGATTGGGCACACAATGGAATTTCGGCACCACTGCCGAAAGAAAAAAAAAACCGTCCAAAAATAATCCATTTTTTCTCGTGATTTTCATCATGCATGCATAAGGCGCACACTCAATTCCACTGTGCGTGCTGATTTATCTGTTCAACGAATCTAACTATAACCACTCACTCGGATGCCCTACAGTTTCTTCTGCTTTTGCTTGAGACAAATGCGTAGCAGCAAAAGGAATCAATTAAAGAGTAGAAAACGTTAGAGAGAAAGAAAATTTTTGCTCCGCTTAAAAATATGCACAAGAATCAACGATAACGGAACCGTTGTACGCCATTATACTTCTGTGTGTAATGGGAGAGAGGGATTGAGAGAGAGAGAGAGAGAGAGAGAGAGCGCGGCTCGGTTATCGCAGTTATTTGGGCCTTCTCGAGAGAGTCGTATTGAGTAATGTATTGTTTTTTTGACTCTGGAGATTGCCTTCGCTGATATGTACATTCGATCGATGACTACCGATCCATTTAAAGCAAATACCCATCATTATTCATTCCGAATTGACGAAGAAGGTGAAGACATGTGTTTTGTTCACAAGAATGTTTCAATGTATGAGGTTCGTCTAGGAATCGTCGATCGAACAAAAATGGGTATTTTGAACTCTCTGCACCGGTTTCGGCAATTGTGAATTGCGATGCCAAATATTCAGCATAAATTATGACACAATAAAAATCAAAGTCAAGTGATCAAGCAGTACCATATGGACAGGAGTGAAGCAAAATGAACGAAAATGTTACAATTTGAATGGGAATGATCGAAAATGAGCTAAAATGGATGGAAACGACTGAAGATGAGCTAAAAATAATGAAAACGATTGTAAATTGAGCCAAAATTAGCTAAAATGAATAAAAATAATTGAAAATGAAATAAAATAGGTGAAAATGAGCGAAACTAGATGTAAATGAGCTAAAATATGTCAGAAAAATCGCAAAATGCATAAAAATTAATCAAAATGAACACAAATTGGAACTAAAAAACAATTTATCTAACAAACTTTGTTACCGCAAAGGTAATAATCGAGTAAAATACCCAAAAATAACCCAAAAAGTGCTCCAAACACGAATGAAAATGATCATAGAAACTCGTGTTAACAAAACTGTTCATCGTGTCGATGTCTAAAAATGTCTTCGAATCGGTAAACTTCAACCGAAATGTGGAAGTGTTGATTTTTACGACATCTATTTATTGGCTCCCGAGTCAAAATATTTCGACCCACAATATTTATAGGCAAAACCGCTATTTCGATAAGACATTCCAAAAACGACTATTTCTATAAATTGACATCGTTGAACTCAACTGTGAGTGGAGTGAAGTCGACACCTAAACCGATGGTAGAATTCAAGGTTTGAAATTGAAGCGCATCGGCGCGTAACCACAAAACCCGAAACGATTTTTCCAAAGTAAAACGCTTCAAGTGTAACATGAATGTTCACTTTTAAGAGAGACAACAGCAAAAAAAAAACGAGTACTTTTTTATTGCTGGCGGCTGCGGCGGGTTCGAATTGACAAGTCGTATGCAAATGAAGCTATTAATGCCACATTCAATCAAATACGGTGGCAAAAAATGTGTCTGCCGTGTTTTTTTCCGATGCAGTTTCGGAAATGTTGTAAACTTTATATCCATGCGATAGAGACACCAGCAGAGAGAAAGAGACATGTGATAGGCATTGTCTGTATTATCTCTCTTTCTCTCTCTGTCTGTGTGTCTATCAAACAGAGTGAAAAGCCAACACAAAAAGAGTCAAAAAAACCATTTAAACTATTGAAAGAAAGAGAAACATGCAACCGAATAGAAAACAAGCGTTTGCATTTGCATTAAAAACCAGAAATCGACGGAATGGCTCGTAAATTAAATTGTTGATGTTCATCAACCAGCGACAACCTCCATTATACGCACGAGTCAAAGTTGGAGAGAAATGACGTGCAATGGTGCGGAAAAACACACACTGGGCACACGGAGGCTGCAAATGATTTTGATCACGATGAGTGAAATCAGGAATTCAACGAGACAATTAACCAGATGCATCTTGTCTGATAAAACAATGGTGTGCGGCAATGAGAGTGTGCAATTAAACTGGCAGAGATTATGCGAAGAATGATTAAGTTTTAAGTCCTCTTGTTTGAGTGGGTGGAAATAATCAGCCACTTTTGCAACAATAGATTCAAGATTGCGCGTCGTATGTATTTGCTGAGCCCAAAGAGATAACCGCGTCTCTTTGTGTATCGACAGTTGGAAAAATGCAGACGGAAGCTAAATCGCGATTATTTTCTATGCATACAACGCCATTTTTTCGTTTGTTTGCTGTATTCGCAGTTTATGTCTGAATTCAATCTTTGTTTGCTGCATTCGTATTTTGGTTTGAATTTAACAGTTTTTGCATTCGCAGTTTTTGTTTTCTACATTTTTGAATTGCAGATGAGTTTATTCACTAACAAAAAAACTGAACGAGGAAAAAAAAATCATCGTGTCGACCCAGCGAAATGCTCTTTTTCCCGAATGGAAGCAAACAAAGAGCGAGGAAAAAAACGCTACACTGCAATTATTATGTAAGTGAGAGAAAAAAAGTCTCTCGGCAGCAACAGAGGTAACAGCAGCAAACCAAAATACTCGCACGGTATAGATTTCGTGTGAGGCAGAAGCCTCCACATTTCGAATAGAGAGCGATAGAGAAAAGTCGGCGAGAAAACAATGCGCGCACATGCAAATTCGTGCGCTGCCGCCACCACCTCAAACGTATCAATTTACCGTCAAAATCCAAGTATAATGAAGCAGTCCAATTGATGGAACAGGTCTTTCTTTCTTTCTCTCTCTCTCTCTCTCTCTCTCTCCCTCTCTCTCTCTTTGACTCGATTTCCACCATTCCGTACCGATCGCCTCACGAAATACCGAGAGAAAAAAACATCCAAGCATCGCGCTCACAGTTCATTCGTGGGTGAACTGTTCTGGCATTCGGACACAATAACAACAACAAAATATATTCAGTTGTTTCTAGTTGGCTTTTGTTTTGGTCGGTAAGAATAAATAGTAACGTAGACTTAAACACAGTGGCAGCAGCGGATATGGCAAGCAGCTAAATGAGAGCATATCAAATCACAACACCGGAACGAACTAAATATTTTTTTTTTACTTCTGTTGTTCTGTCGTCGTCTCATTCTGCCTCGGTGTCGCGGTCTATCATTCTTTCATTCTATTGCTCTATGAGTGCTCTTTGCCTCATTCTCGCGCTCTCACTCACGTCGTGCTATTTCTCTCATTCTCACCAGTGATCTCTTCCACTCATTTGCTATCCCATCGCTCATTCTAGCCTCTTCTAACTAATTTCAACTCGTTCTCTTCAATCCATTGGTCCGCACGCAATACACATCACAGTGACAAATTTCCAGAGCGAGGCTACTCTGTTTGGTATTCGCACAAAAGCCGCACAATTCAATTCAATTGAAATGACCATGTAGGCGATAGAATACAATGCAAACAATAGAATAACCAAATAGCAAAGCAAAATCCGCGATTGGGGCGGATTTGAGCTCTTTTTTTCTCTGTGTTTGTTATCAACGTTTGAAAAATTATCTCGCAACGAACATTTGCCCTTTTTTCCTTTGTACTCTCCATACTAAACAATTCAATCTGATTTCCATTTACAGATTTCCAAGTCATACCGGGTGGCATACAAAAGTCACATTCTCACCTACACACACACACACACACACACAAACGCTGGATTCGAGCTAAATCCAAAACAACAATCGATAAGTGCCAATTGCTTGTTATCGCAACAAATGATTAGACACAGCAACGTAGAAAGAAAAAAAGACAGCAACGACTACAATATAAATTCTTATCGTGTCTTTATCAACAACAACGACGACGACGTGCTCTGGCTTTAGTTGAAAAAATAAAACATCAATCGATCGATGAACGAACAAGAAAAATTACCTTACTATTTGTGAACTAAAAATTCTATCGTTGCGTGATCTTCTTATGACATGAACTAGAACTGCTGCAACATCAGCAGCAGTAAGAGAAATAAAAACCTGAATTTTTTCTTCTCTAGTTTATTCTGTGAGTACCGTAAATCGGAGTGTAGTGTTTGTGTATATGAAAAAAGAAACACCCGAACGGTGTGTAAAATTCCATTGCAGAGCCAACACAAATTGGATCCATCAAGTTTATGTTAACGGCCCTCTCCTGGTTTCACTTGCAACTTTAATAGATTCCCGATTCTTCGTGCTACAGTGCCGATCTCTTACTCTGGCTCTCTTGCTGCTGGATACGAGCACGAGCGCGAGCGCGCACATACACCTATTTTACAACAATCCAAATCGAATGCGAAAAACCGTAAATTATACACGCAACAATCCACATTGCGCTCTTCGGTATAGAAGTGCATCAAATTAGAAATAGTGTATTGAATATATGTGTTAAACGGGAAAATTGTCTATGGTATTTAGTTGTTTCTTCTGTGTTGTTGCGATTCTTTGTTTTTGTTTTTATTTTCGTTCTGGAAGTTTTAAAAGTGCGATATTTATCGATCGTTACAGTGAGTGTTTGGTGCTTGTATCGATCACATCGTTTGTGCGAAAATAGATAGAAAAATATCCATTTAGGAAACGAAAGAGTTTATCATTTGGTTTGAACGACATCGGAGTTATCATTGGTGTCGAGCGTAAAATAAACACTACAATAAAAAAAATCCAAGTGACGATAGAAATTAAGTAACATTCTTTGAACAATTCCGCAACAAATTCGATATAAAAGTTCAATAAAGTGATAAAAAAAACAACTGGTCGTCGTCGCCGTCATTGCCATCATTAGGCTAAATCAAATGAAAACAACGATACCCATTTTGCACGAGTGAGTCAAAGTGGAAATTCAATTAGAAAAATAGCAAAACACACATACACATCGATCGATATGGCTTCAACATCTAGTGCGGCGAATAGCCATTCGGAAATTCCGCCATGGAAAATGGAGTTGATCCAACGGAAGAAGAAACTAAGCACATTGAGCCCAACACAGCGTACCATTATGCAATATGATATCAACAACGATCCAAATTTCGGTGAGTTTAGCTTGCATATATGAAATGGTTTTTTGTTTTTGGTTTTTAATCACCGCCTGGCAATTACAATTTGAAATGGTAATTATCGTTACGTGAATGAGTCATTGTCTGACATAATTGATGGTAATTCACCGTAAAAAATGAAATATTTTTTTTTATCATTTCCATAGACATGGTTACGGAAATATACACACACACACACACACCAATTTTGGGCATGATGCAATTTTGCTAAATCGTCTAGTGTCTATGTCCGTGGACGGTGACCACGGTGTTTGCTATTCCATTCGTGGGCAAGTGTTGTCATGTTTTTGTATGCACGCCGACAGAACAAAAAGAAGAGAAAACACAAACAAATTCAAATTTTGGTCAGTCAGATACGTACGGCCTACGCGCGTTGCTGTATTGTGTGTCGTTGATACACATTTTTCGCTCTCTCTCTCTCTCTCTCTCTCTCTCTCTCTCTCTTCGGCTTAGAAACGATCGGCATTTGCATTCGAGGCAAGAACTCTCTCTTTCTGTGTGTCAATTTCAACGCGGTGCGGCGAGACCGAATCAATCTGTATACAGCGAAGCGCTTGTATGGGTGCGGACGACATAATACACAGTCGCTCACCCAAACACACACATACACGCGCATACTCACTCAATGGCCCGTCGCGTTCATGTCTCTCTGATTACAAACAACGATGTAGTGGTGTGTCTCGCACTATATTCTCGTTCTGTATTCCATTCTTGTCTCTCTTTTTTTTTTCTTCTCCCGTCCATTTCACTGGATTTCGTTCAGTTGCCGGCTTCATCACCATCGAATTACATGTGTTAATATATAGTTCTTTGTGATATTTCCGAGTGTCGCACACCTTAAAGCCATTGTGCGCTGTGTGTTTTATATTTTCTTCGGTTTCTTCATTATTATTATATTTTTTTCGCAACAAACAAACGCGTTTATGTTTCGCTAATGAAACCCAACTCAATCGATTCTTTGTTCATCTATTAGTTTCGTTTCAGTGTTCTCGTTTATCAATCTCATTTTTTTTTCCTGTTAATTATCTTCATTTTTTTCGGTGGTTGTTGGTTTTTTTTTTCGTTGAACGAGAAAAGAGACTGGAAGTCAACAGCAAGACTAAAATTATGTGGTAAATTATCGCTTCAAGTGGCTATGAAGAACCGTCTCATTTCTCAGAAATTGGATGACTTTTTTTTCGTTGGGTGTGATGTGATTGAGTGAACCGTGATAGTTTGTGAGTTTGTGCTTGTCTGCGTGTATGATAGAAAGAGAAAGAGACATGGGCGAAATTGGATTTTGTACAACAATGTGGCTTTATAGTTGAAGTTTACTGAAGTTGAACCAAAACTTGCTTGATATGGCGAATTATTTTCGTTGCGAAAACTAATCAAAACTTCAACTGCAGTCGATTCAACGTCAGAAGTTTATTTAATCGGATTTCGACGGCAATTGTTTAGTTCAGCAATCAAAAATGAACATTCATTGTAGTTTTGCACCGAGTTATTAAAGTTTATTTGAACAAGTTTACGAAAATTCTTTAATGAACTTGGTTGAAATCAAAGTTTATGGCTAAAAATGAAGTTTGTTGAAATCAGAGTTTAAAATCAAAAGAACAAATTTTGACAAAACTTGATCAAAAACGTAAAATGACGTCAAAAACCACAGAAAAAAGTGGTCGTTTCGATGAAAAGGTGGTTATAATAAAAACATGGTAACGGCAAACAAGACGAAATGGCCAAAGTAAAACTGATGGCAAAAAGGAAGAAAAAAAATGGCTTAAATTGTTTGAACATAAGGTCATCAAATGTCTATGGAATTAAAAGCCGCATCAAAGTCCACCGAAAATCGGATTAAATTCACGAAAAGAGATTCGCTTAAATCCTTCAAGACGTTTGACCATGTTCAAGTCGCTATTTCGTCCAGAATTCGCTAATTTTGATGAATGTTTTTTTGAATCCCTGTTTATTTATTCACACCAAAGCCAAACACACACCAAAAGAGAAAAAAGAAGAAGAAGAGAATCCTTTTGCGAACAAGTAAAACTACGAAAAAAAACAATCAAAATCCATCGAAAGGGTCTTTGCAAATCATGAAAAATTGTTAGTATTTACAAAAACAGAATCGTCGAATTCGATTCATTATTTATTTGTGCCTTGCTCGGCAGTCGTCAAAAAGAATGTGCTGACGCCAAAACATACACACCGTGCATATTCGATACGTTTCACGGCTATCAATCACATTCACTTCATGGCTTTTGCCAGTGCGACATTTTATTGTCAATGTTAACTCAATTAAATCATGAGAGGCCCATTCGACTTTGCATTCTCGTTTCGGGTATACGGTTCAGAGTCCATTGCACACGCATTTCAATTTTCGTTCGTTCTGTAACCACGACCTTTCCATCGAGTGTGTTTCATTTTGAAAGTAAAATCGTAAAAAAGAACGTTTCCATCAAACGTATGCATGGAAGAAAAACTGAGACAGAAAAAAAACATGGTTGTGAATCGATTGTTTGGCGAATTCCTGTTACGCGTGAATGTGATAGTGTGAGTGCGAAGCGATTGATATGAGTCAGGGTCTGTGTAGTGTTGTGCAGTTTTGGTTCCTTTCGATGCACACTCATACACACGCAATACGCGTACACCGCAGAAGAAAAAAAAACCCACCAGACGAAGCAGTAAATTCGCATAACAACAACAACAGCAGCGAAAATTGCATTTATAAACACATTTCGGTGCGCAGTGCAAACGAATCGTATGGTTTTTGTGTTGCTGAAACGCACACAATGTCAATATTTGAATTAGAATTTTCGGTTTGATGGTTCTGTGTTTGGTGCGAGGAGCACCCTTTGCATTTGTTGTTGCTGTCGATACTAGTTTTTGTTCGTCTTTTTTTTTGTGCACGGATGCGATAGCGCAAGCAAATCGATTTTGTAAGAGACAGCGGCAGCAGCAACAGCAGCAAGCAAGGAAAGACCGAATCATTTTAAATGCCAAACGCAACAAAAACCCGTTTCGGAAGCCAACACAACACACTCGAGTGACATATCATGTTCTGTGTGTCATAATTCATGCTAAAACGAATGATAACATGTATAGAAAATGCCACTGACTGTAAGTGAGCTCGACTCAATCAGCCTACTGACTAGGGACTAAGCCATTTGTTTGTTTATTTTTCCGTCGAACGATGCACATTGCGACAAGATTTGTAATTTTTTTTTCTTTCAATTGTGATAAATTCTTTTTTAGATTATTTTTTCCTCCTCCTTCTTCTTCTTCTTTTTGTAATCATAAAAATATTTGTTGATTTAATCATAAATTTATTTTAAATATTTGTTATCTATTTGTCGATAAAATAGCTAGGATTTTTTCTGAGAAAAGCGACAAACCATTTTATTGTGTTTCTTTTTTTTTTCTCCCGTTCCATTTTGTAGATAAAAGCCATTGCGATACCAATGGTATAGTTGCTTCCAAAGTGCACGATTATTCTTTGTATTCGACGTCGACGAATCTACTGAAATCCACGAGCCAAGTGAAGCACAGCACAATTCAGCACGTTAGCAATTCCAGCGGACGACAAATGGATGGAATCGCTGAAAATGGTAAAAAAAAACATTCCCGTATTCCGACCAATAAATTAATAAAAACAGTCTATCTGTCTCTCTGTGTTGCTCTCGCTCTTTCCACACTCTTTTCTTCTTCCACATAAACACAAACAGACGATTCACATCGAGAAAAGTGCTCGGATTTTTCTTTCTATTTCATTTCATCGCCGTTGTGTGTTTTCTTTTCTCTTCTCTGTGTCTTAACAGGTAATTCTGTGGCAGGTCATTCACATTTCCAGGCAGCAGCGGCTTCGACAACAACGACAACAACAGCTGCTGCAGCGATCATAAACGGCACCACAGCACAGCCAATGATGAGCGCATCACTTCCAGTCTCGGTCACAATTAACAGTGTATCGCCGGATGCGGCAACGCAACCGCCGTCGGATGCACACGAAGTGGGATCGCCGCAACCATCGATGCGAAAAACATTGGAAACAGCCAACGACAACAAATTCAAGTCAGCAACAAATCAGTTTCATTCCAGGCATGGCAGTGAACACAACACAACAATCAACGCCGATCAACAACAATCGTTCAGTTTAGTGAGTGATCGAAAGCAGCAATTAGAACACCTCACAATTGGAAAATGTACATCAACGCCAGCAGCAGCAGCAACAGCACCAGCAAATACTAAACCTGCTGCCACATCGCATTTAAATCAAAGTCTTGAGTCAGCCAAACAAAATCCGGTGGTGAAAAAGTTTTTGCAATCAAGTGACAAACGGAATAGTGCACCAAATTGGTTTCCATCGAAGCGAAACAGTTTGATTTTATTGGCCGATCAGCAGCGATTTGAATCGAAGGCCGAGAAGAAAAAACGGTGCAGTGAACCAACAGGCAACAGTGGTGACAAAATGGTTGCAATGCAAGAATTGGCCACAGCCGCCACATTCGATGATAATTCCGAGGAATTGGCATATGGACCGGGAATTGTATCGAAATTACGATGCCGTTACTTGAGTCTGGCACTACGGCAAACGGTAAAACAACGACCAACATTGGACAATTTACGGCGCGCAAATTCGATGAGCAATTTATTGGAAGAGGAAAATGTGGATATTGATGAAGTGGACGATCGTAATAATGGTCATCATGGTATGATAGACGATAATGAACAACAGAATTCTTGCCAATTCAACGATAACAAATTAAATGGGTCTCATGAGAAATCAATCATTCAAGTGGAATACACAACAAATTATATTAATTGCTCAAATGGCACCAGTGACACGCTAATCAATCCCGACTCAATGAAAACATCGAACAAAGGAATGGATTCACGGCGTCAAGTTCAACGTGGAAATGATTCATTGAAACGTGCCCGTTCAGTGGAAGCGCTCATGCGATACGATACATTGGCCTGGCGTCGTGATGTGCTCGAAGATTCTGAAGATTATCCGAGCAGCAATCCAATTATTTTGGATGAAATTATTGTGAGTGATTATCAGTCGACGGTGATTAAAGCCAAAACAGCCGATTCGATCACGATTGAAGATAAAATCCAACAAGCTCGTGATCGTATGAATGATCCAAAGCCACCACGTCGACTTACATCGTTTATGAGTGAAACCGAGCGTCCGCCACCGGATTTGGTCAAACAAACCCTGCTCAAATTTGAAGCATCGGCCAATAAACGTAATCGCGCCATTCAACGCTATGGTAATGGTGATGTTGCCGCCAAAGTAGCAACATACAAATCAAAAATGTCACACGATAAATCACCATTGACATCGCCACAAATCACATCCAAATTGCCACCGTCCGGTTTTGGTGGGAAGAAACCGTTGATTAAACCACGTACCACTAGTCCAAAACCACCACCGCCACCCACATTCCTCAATGGCACATCAGCGACAAAAGAGCCAACGAAAAAAATCTATACCAAAACAATTGAACATGACATCGATACATCACACACTGCGTTCAATGGCAATGGTTTGAAATCAAGCGATGTCGAACGTATGAATCAGAAAAATTCGGCTGCAAATTTCACCAACCGACTCGATACCTCAACATATCGTAGTAAAATTGCATCGCCTGATTCACCACCAGCCACAAGTCCATCATGTGAAAGTCCTCGCTCAAGTTATGTGTACGATATGGTTCGTCGGCGTGAAAATAACCATGCTGATTCGCCGCTAATTACACAATTGGCACGTAAGACAGAGAGTCTGGTATTGGCCACACCAAAATCACGGAAAACCAGCACATCGGCTGATATTGCATTCGGTACAGATGATTCAAGTGTTCAGCCATCGGATAACGATGACTATTGCGATGATGCAACCAGCAATAGCAGCGAAACGGGTTGGAGTGAAAGTTATGATGTGAATATTATTAGTGATAATGAAGACAACAGTAGTGAAATTGATATGGATTTCTTGGCAAAAAAACCACCAATGCCAAAATCCAAGCTAAACGGTAATCAAATAAAAGCAACAGTGATTAGTGTGCAGCCGGCAATAAATTGCATTTCAAATGGATCTATGGATAAAAAGTCTGAACAGCCCGAGCCAAGTGTTCGGCAAATTGGTATCATTCGGCCGTTGAATCATGAAATTCCATTACAACCACCGATTGCAAGGCCACCACCGATTCCAATTGCCCGTAATCGCCTACCATCGCCATCATCACCGAAAAAAGAGGTCACCGATAATGCGATTAAGGTATCGGTTGCAGCGGCTCCAATTGTTGTGAGCACCCAGCATAGTGTTGTGTTGCCATCGAGCACGTCATCGGTTGTGGTGACAAATTCAGTGAGTGTGGCCACATCGAACGATGTCCAAGGCGATGTTGTTGTTATTGAATGTTCCGGCGATTCAAATATCGATACAAAAACAATGTCACCCATATCCACACCACCCACAGCCAATTCTAATAATCGTACCAAATTGATCAACAACACTGAACCAACCAACACAATAAGCATCGATACGCGCAGCATTGTGCACCAGAAGAATTTGTTGAACAAAGAAAAAAGTGAAGAAGTGCTCAATGGCAGCAGCCCACAAGGACTCATTCAATCGCCAATTAAATGGAATATCAAAAAATCCACCGTCGTCTCATCGTCGCCCGTTTCAAATGTGGCCGTCAATCAATCGTCATCGCCAACAAATCAACAAGCAACGGCCACAGCTGCAGCGACGGCGGCAGCGAAACAACGACCAAGTGATATTCAAACCACAAACACAATGGTCTTCAATTTTAGCAACCGCAAAGATGTACCCGACTACATCGAAAATGATGGTCTGGTCATTCGACGAAAACGCGAACTTCCAAAGGTAAGTACAGCAATTTCTTTTTCATTCGAATCAAACCCACATGAATGATGAGTTTTTTTTTCTTTACACTAAACCATCTAACGCTTTTGATTCAATTAAATCCATATTATCCAATGGAATAACTGACTTGCAGTTTAATCAAATCCACATTTCTAATTCACAATCGATTCGCGGCGAAAATGGCTTAATTGATTTTTTCAACCATTTTTTTTTCTCTCGAACGAACGAGCGAGTTCATGTGTGCCCTGTGTGAAAATATCAAACCGTAAACAAATTCACACGCTTGTTGCTAATAATTTATGCGCGCACACACATTCGCTCTTTGTCTTGGTTCCATCATAATTATTCGATTAGATTGTGTCGAACGGCGTTTTGATGCTGTCTTCACCTCATTTGCCACCGCCGATAGGTGTGTCTGAACCGCGAGCGCCGTCGCCGGTGCACATTCAGGTCAATAGCAGCATCGCTTCGCAATTTATTGTGTGTGTGTGTGTTTAATCGTGTCTCAATTATTGTGTTAAATTGAAATCATCGTTTTCCACACATAGCCCAAAACAAAACTTTCTTTTGCCTCAAATCTGAGTGAGAGCCGTCGACGTCGATGTCTCGTGTAATTCAAACAATCGATTTCATTCGAGTTGTAACTTTTTTTCTTCGTCTTTTTTTTCTTCTTCTTTCATTTTGCCTTCGTTTACTCATCTTAATCCCATTCAATTGCAGCGAATTTGTTGTGTGTATTCTTTTGTTTCAATTGAATGTTGACTGTTAATTTTTTATGGTTGTAGCTTGGTCCAAAACAAGTGAGCAACCATAAAAAGTGAAACAATGGCCTGAAAATAAAAAGCTGGTCAAGAGGTTGAATGACGTGCTTTTCTCTATCGAGACAAATTTCACATGGTTTCAAACAACAACAACAACAGTCGATGATTGACTTGTTTGCATAGCAAATCACATTGTCGTTAGGCTTTGGCGTGTCAAGTGTGTGGCATTTTGAAAGGCGGTGTGATGTTGCTGTTGGCCAAATTGAGAAGTGTAAACGCCGGCGTCGCTTTTTTTTATTTCTTTCCAATGGACGACGATCTATTCAAATCCAATAATAGTCACGGTGCACACGAATCAAAGCCCTATTTATCCACTGTTACTTTCATTTGGCACACAAACCCACAATTTTAATATAGATTATGTGCAATTGTTAATTCGATTCGCTTTTTAAAAGTCACAGAGCCCTGAATTTTTCCCTCCATATTAGGTGTAAATTTTCGTACAAATTGACCACAACTAAATCGTAACCGTTTAGCAGTTCAGTTTTTTTCCTCTCCTAATCGTTTCGTTCAATTTATGTAAAAACACTTGCGAAATTGGTGTGGCGCAGCAATTGAACAGTACTGAACCCAGAAATTGAATGGTGACTTGAAAAAAACAACACGGCTTTTGAACGGCACGAAATCGATCGATTTTTTTCGCTGATGAACCATTTTCGTTTTTCATCAAAAATTTCATTTCTCGAGTGATTTTGAACAACAATGCACACGAGATAAGAAACACATTAACAATTCGCTATAAAACATGATTTTTCACTTCAAATTCGAAGCTTTTTGTTTTCGATTCCGATTTTTTTTCTTGAGAAAAAAAATACACAAAAAAAAAATTTATGTCTTATTTCTTGAATTGTTTATATGCGTCAAAAATCGAATCTACGTCTCTTTTTTCAATGTCTTCAAATCGGCGCATTTCTCTGTGATTTTCACGCCAGAATCGCAATGATGAACAATAACAAATAAAAAACGAAAAGCGAACACAAACGTGCACGACATAAAAAAAAGTCCATTCGAATTTGCTCGCCAATTGGGAACAATCGCTTCGATGATAATCGCATGGCTAAGCATCGAGCAAGAAAAAAGAAAAAATGGACAAAATGAAAGAAGTGAAGAGATAGAAATACGCGAGTCATTTTCAATTGGTGTTAAAGACACACAGAGAGAGAAAGAGAGAGGGAGAAAGAGAGAGAAAATCTAGTGCGATAAGGTTAAAAGTTGGCAGATTATTAACAGTAAGTGTTCCGAATTCAAGCGTAAAATGTTGATTGCGCTCTACTGCTGTTGCTCGGACGCTGCTTGCGGTCAGACGAAAAGAAGCAGAATTACCAGCTCGATTATTTTTCGGCAAGAAGAGTGGATGTGTGTGTGTGTGTGTTTGTGCTCTTGATTTGTCTTAAGTGAAACTGGCAAACGTGCTCGCGCGCACAAGCACAATTGACCCAGATAATTAGCCACAAAAATAAAACTACATTCAGTTCGAAACAAGTTGTTATGATAAATTTGGAAAATAAGAGCGCAGCTCTTCGGAGCTATGCACAAAAGTGTTTGTAAAAGTGGAAAAATTTGAATTTGAATGGCAATAAACCACACTTCATTCACCGACGGAAAAAAGAGAAAGAATGACGTTGTCGTGGTCAGCTTCGACTGCTCCGATTTCATTCCGGAGGGGAAAATGTGTTAAAAGTTGAAAATCTGGGCGTATTTATAGTCCATTAATTGACACAATTAGACGAAACGGTTAATTTGCACACACATACACACACACATAGTGCTCGAATGCAATCTGGTGCAATCGCGCGCGCGCACCTCATCCAGAACTCATTCAGTGGCATTTTGTTTGCAAAACACATATTTTTTTTGTGTTTAAGTATCACAACAAACGGAACTGTATCGCTCAATATGACGACGACGACGATGAACGAAATGAACAACGAAATGAAAAAAAAATTGCAATCGAACGGAGGAGCGCGCGTACACTGCGTTCGCATAAGAATGAATTGGGAATAAAGAGCAAATTACACCGTTATGTAAAAGCCATACACCAAAAGCGATCTGCCCGGTTTTTCTTTTCAACCGAACGACTTTGTTTCTTCTTTTTCTTTTCTTTATTTTATTCTAGTTTCTCTTTTTTTGGATCTTCTCTCTCTCGTGCATGTGATCGTCTCGTGTGTATGAGTCGCTTGATCTCTTCTCAGTCTCATGTATACAAACGCTCGTTTGTGTCTCGCTCCGTTGTTGCTTTCAAACCATAGAATTTTACAATTTAATTATTAGTGGCATTTCGAAATAAAAGCCATCTCACCATGGAATTTGCATGAAAATCCACCCAAAGTTCGACGATCTATTCCGTCGGAATTGCTATTATTATTTTATTAGTTGTTATCGTTGAATATAACAATCGTTACATTGTGTATGAAATGAGACTTGCTGCACGTATTTCTGACTGCCTCCCTGCCTGACTGAATTGATTGTGTTTTTTTTTGCACAGAAAACCACATTTCGATTCGGATCACTCCTGAACACGTTGTTTGAGCATGTGTTTGTATGTGATTCCGCTGAAATCAATCGAATGGAAGCCACGTCTTTTGTGCACTAGTGCATATACAACTATAACTAGCATGCGTGTGATTTTATGCGTGAAAACATGCAAAGTAAAAGTTATAAATGCATTCACAAAACTGACCATCGTTTCGTAGAAAAAAAAATCAACTCACATTATCTCATTGTGCTCCGTTTAACCATTACAAATCTTGCGTTTGTTTGCAGCCCGGTGAATCTGGTTTTGTACTACTTGGCGATCTAACGGTTGAAACATCAACCGACCCAGAACCAGACGACTCATGGATCTGTGATCCACCATCACCATGCGATGTTCAATTCAAAAATGCCAACGTCGTTATCAACGGCAAATCCAGTCTGCGCGACAGATCCAGAGGCGATCCAAAGGTATGTGGAACGATTTCTTGCTTTTTTAGTTCAATTCTTCTTTTGAATTTATGAAAGACGGCTAGTTTTCAATATATTAATGGGTCAATGAAAAGTCTGCGTTGACGAGTCCAGCAATGGATTTTGTTAACTTTGGGTGGGTTTTTCATCAACCAAACAGTTTTTGTTCAATTTATTTTCTGATTTTTCTACGTGAAACTCTTTTTTCGGTATTTTCTATACTTATGAAGAAATTCTTCACTCATTTCTTATGAAAATTCCACATTTATACCTTAAAACGTCAAAATTCTCAATAGAGCTTTGAATTATTCATTCATTTTATTCTCAAACTGTTCAATTACTCGACAAAAAGTTCAAATTTCCCTCGAAATGTAACATTGTGCCTCAAGTTGAGTTCAAAATTTTGTTCAAATTCATTGATTTTTTGGAAATTTTCTTCCGATTTTCTCAGATTCGTGGCAAACTTCTTTGAATTTATTCAATTTTTTGACCATTTTTCCCAAAATGGCGCAGCCGTTTGACTACGCTACTCAGATTTTTTTCGAATTTGCGTTTTTTTCAGAGCATATTTGCACATTCGGTTGCCAAAAGAATCTTTTATTCACTCATTTCCACAAATTTCCATCATTTTTTCCTACATTTTCTTAACATTACTCTAACTTTCGATAGTTCTCAAAGATTTTCAGTTATTCTCAATGAATTTTCACTCAATTCGGCACTTTTGTTCCATTCAATCTTCATTTATCTTCAGAAATTCATTTTCCTTCACATTGATTTATCTTTTTTCCGATTCCAACTAGCTTTCTCCCAATATATCACTACGAATTGCGCAAAACATGGTTTATATGTTTTCTGTACTTTTCTTTATTGAATTCCTCAAAAATATGATATTTCAACGAAAAAAAATCTCTTGAATTTCAATTTCGTAATGGATTTTTTGCGTCCGACAGAATGCTTGAGTTGTACACTGTCAAAACTGCCAACAATCAATAATTGCATCAGTGAAGCCTTGAAGTGTGTTGTTTTCAATAATGAAAAACACGAAAAAAATTGCACATTTTCCACTGACTGAGGCACAAAACTAAGCAAATATACAAACCGCCAACTGTGATGTGTGGTTGCGTAAAGTATTCGATACGGACACTTTGGGTATTATTCACTTCCGTTTCTGCTTGGTAGACGAGGTATCGTCATTTTGCGTAATGCAATGTTGTTTATTTATTGCGGTGGTCACGAAAATTGGCTTATGGTGGTATGTCAGCGCGTCAAAGACGCAAAAAAATGGTGTATTGTGACTATTGATTTTCAGAGTGGGCAAAGAAAGAGAAAAAAGTGGTTGAAAATAGACCAAGCAAATCATAGTAAAGTGAGGCAAATTGATGATTTGTTTAGGTGTTGAATGCTCGTCGAGCAAACAGGTTGCGAGTAGTGCATAATCGGATTTAAGGTTATCGCAACGACAGATTTACGCCATTGGCAAAATTCATTCATGCAGCAAACAATTTATAGAAAAAGGAACATTTTGCAACACATTCGACGAACAAAAGAGAATGACACAAATGTTTGAGTTCGTTTCAGTAGCGAATTCAAAGCAAAAAACGATTAGAAAAATATGAAATTTTGCCATGAAAAGGTGATTTAAAGCGTTTGTTCGAGCGACAATTGGATTTCAATGGTTCATTCCATGAGGTAGCGGTTTACGTAACTGCAAGCCATCATCGATCCATAAATCATCACCGTTACATGAAAACGTTTCGCATTTTTCGTTGTTGTTGTTCGTTTGTTTGTTATCGCTCAGTGCCTCGTCAGTTTTTTGTTTGTTCCTCTTGTTTCTCTCTTGGTTTTGATGTGTTCAGTTTGTGTTTCGTTTGTTGATTCCCACTTTTTTCGTTGCTGCAATTGCACACGTACGACCAAAAACGGAAACAACATGCAGCCACGCAAACATAACGAAATGTTCTTGCAAATTGGGTGAATCCAAATACGAATACATATTCATTCAATGTGCTTGCCTAGCCATAACGAAAACCCAGCGCACTGGAACACAAACATTTTCTTGTGTTGCCGTTTCGATTTTGTTTCTTTTTTCTTGCTGCAACACAAGTGGAACATTGAAAGTCGACGGTTTATCTCGATGTCATGGAATGTTCTATTGAAATGCGATTTTGCAACTGTGTTTGCGTTGACCTTGATTGGTAGAAAATAATTCGATTGATTTGATGACGACGACGACGGCGGTTATGCAATGCCCATGGTGTAATCGAAGCCATGAAACGCTGTCGCCGAGACAAGTGAAGGCAATCGCTTCTAAGCCCAAAGAACACCGTAAATGGAATATCGAATACGTGATTCGCGTACAGCGGATTAGTTAGACAGCATGGATATCTCAAAACACGATCTCAAACCACTTTTTTCATTCCAAAACCAATTTCCAAATTACCACACAAAGCTCAAGTGATGCTTAAATCATGCGCTTAAACATCTCTCTGCTTTCGAAACACTTTTTATTTACATTTCGGGGGGATTTTGCTACAAATCGGATTCTCGGTCAGTTTTTTTTGTAATCCAAAATTTGGATTTCAAAATATTTCGCTTTTTGAGTATTTTAATTCGATCAAATTATGCTGCAATTGCCAAAGTAACCATGATCCGAATCACCGACTCAACGAATTCCATGTGTTTGGATTTTCGAATGATGACTTAAGCCATGCAATTATTTTGTTATTAAACTCAAATTTACGGATGAAATCCAAATGAAATGTTCATTGCAGAAGATGGCATGAGGCAAGTGGGCTAAATTTGTGATTTTATGAGGAAGTACACAATGTTTTCGAGAGGAAGATGACTTTTTTTAGTTGAAACCAAACAGATTTTTGGTAAATGGTTGAAATAAATTGTTTTATGAAGAAGTGGGTAAAGAAAAGTAATTTTTGGCTTTGGAAAAAGTCATTTGTTGCCTAAGCAAGTCATTTTGGGCTTCGAAATCAGTTTTCTGCCGTAAAAAATTTTCAAATGATCAAATGTTTTCTGTTGAAGAAATTTAATGTGAAGACGCATTTTGATGGAAAAAAATGAAGAGAAAAGTAGCCATTGGCATACAAAACCGCACTTCTCTGCAACAAAATTACCGCTAAAGTATTGAAAAACGCTTTTTTACTGGAGAAAATATACTTGCCTCAAGTCTTTCAAGGCTGAAATCGACTTTTCTTCAAGAAAAATTAGAATCTTCGGTCGAAAAATAAAATTTTACATCCAAAAAGACCACAAAAATCTTGGAAAAGATCCTTTTGAACCGAAAAAGAAGGATTTTTAATCGAGATTGGAGCTCTTTTTAACTTAGAAAAACGATTTTTGTTTAAAAAAACAAAAAAAAGACACAAAAAATGTCTTCTAATGAAAAAATTTCAAATTTTCATTGAAAAAACCAAATTTTTTCCCAAAAAAGCTCCGTCTCATCAAATGCTGCATATTTCTGTGCAAACCTACATATTTAATAGCTTACACTGTTCGCTGAACAGTCTTGGGAACGTGTAAACTAACGAAAAAAAAAACAAATTCCGGTCAATTTCACCGAGTTCTCATACAAAGAAAAAAAATCCATTAATTTTGTCTTGGCTAACAAGTAATTGTTGGTCATAAATTTGACGAGCGCCACTGCCTGAAATTATTGTGAAAATTGTACAAATTCCAAGCGCGATTATAGCTCGTTTGTTTGTGTTTTTTTTTATTTCATAGCCGTATCACTTGAAGAAAGTAATATGGAATGGGCGACACAATTAAATGCGTTTGCATTAGTTATTGTTGACGTTCCCAAGCGCAAGGAAAAACACGGATTTTTACGTAAATATACAAGAGAATGAAAATTTATTGTAATTTGAGAAAATCAGCGAGTAAATTAGACGCTTATTGCCGGAGAAACAGATGCAGCGACGACGACGACGACGACGACTGCGAACAACAAAAAACGAAGCAGGCACAAAAGAAATCTTCGAGCACACCATAAACAGAAACAGTTGCGTTGTTCGTTGTGCGAGTGTTTTGTTGTTGTTCAAGAGTCTGAAGAAATTAATTGGTTGCAATAGAGTGATTGTTGCGGTGGAGTGAGTGAGATGGTTTGTAGCTGATTTGGCCAGAATCACTATCAACAAACGACGATGCAATATTTTTTTTTTCTCACACTCGGTTGAAACCTGCGTTTTACCATTTTTTTTTTCTCTTTCTCTTTCTTTCATCGCTGTTTCTTCATTTCTTCGGTGGAATTCTTGTGTTCATGGTATTTTCTTTCTTGAGTCGTTTCATTTGGTCTGCATATAATAATCGGGAATGTGTGTACATAAACAAAATGGTACGCGGATGAGGTGTGCGCGTAAAGAGTGTGCGCGCTCATATAGGAAAATGTGAATGCTTTATGCCAGTGACTCTTATGTAAATCGTCTGTTTTTTTCTACTCGCGCCAGTCATTCAGATTATATTCTCAAACCAATTCGTTTATCTTGGGCTGTTCTCTGTCATTTTTCGAACTTGTTCGCTATTTCCATCGAAAAAAATATTATTTGCTGAAGAAACAAAACAGAGATATTCAAAGAGCTTGGAAGAAAAAAAAATGTTCGTTGAATTCGAAGCGACAGATATTCAGAAAATATGCAACCAGACAAATTAAATAAAAGAAAGAGCGAGAGCAAAATAGCGCGTGTTACCTTCGGTTCGGTTTAAAAGCGATTGGTACAACTAAAACGACGCGATTGCGTGCCATTCAGCCTCATACACACAATGATTGTACACTGAGTGCTCGGCAGTTGATGTACGCGCGCACATGTGTGTATGCCTTCTTGTTCACTCGGTTCGTTGAAATTATGACGGGAAACGAGCAGTCATTCGATTCACAAGAGCAATAAAGACAAACGCAAAGTAATAACAATGTTTTTTTAGAAGAAAAACAACGAATATTAGAAGAAAAAAAATGTTCCGCTAAAACAAAGCAAACAACAACAAGAGCCGAGTTAAAAAAAAACGCAGCACATAGTTAAAGAAACATTGGAGTAGCTTCGAGTAACGAGTAAAATGACACTGATTTCGCTTGTTAACGTCTAATCAACAACAAAATCTTTGGCACTTTTCGAGGGGCTCCGCCTCAACGGTAAATTGGATGAACAATTTTCTTTCTTGGCGCATTTAATTAGGCACAAACGAAGACAGTTTTCGCTTTGCTATTCTCATTCGAAATTGACGTCGCAATTTAAAATTGAACACACACGCACACCTAGTGCTTATGATGTGCTAGAATTACGAATTGAGGTCCGGGTCGAAAGAGAATCTCAAGACGCCAATGTCCTCTTTTTCGTTCTTTCTAAATCTAGAAAAACTTGTTTTGAAAAAAAAATGATGCAACTCAATTTGACTCGAGTGTGTCTTAACTTAAGAGCAATAAAGACTCTTTTTTCTTTAGACTCTTAAGTAGCGACCTCGCAACTGGCGACCAAAGACTATTAATGGCATGTAAAATGGTTCATTTCCACTAAAACTCCACTCAAGTTTATAATATTCGCTTTGTATCGAGCCCATTCGATGAAATTGTGCGATCAAAATGTACCGTTCGGTCAATAGCAGCTGCACTTGTTGTATAAGTGTTGGTGTTTTTGAGTGTGTGTGCTGTGTATTCGGTTCACTTATGAAGTTAGATAACTGTTATGAGCATGGTCTCGTTTGGTCTACTTTGGCGGAAACAATTGCTTATGGCTCGCTCTCTCTCTCTCTCTCTCTCTCTCGCACCAACCCGAGCGCTTTCAACATCGATCAGACACAACGCTAATCGTTGTATCGACTTGCTGCCAATATGAAGAGAAAAGTCAAGTACCGCAACATTGTTGATAAATACCATTTTTTTTCTGCTACAGCTACTGCTGGTGCTACAGCTATTGCTCTGACAGTCATCAATAGCCGCAACGAATCAGACGAGAATGGTACGTTAAACGCGACTGAACTGACTTCTTTGATATGTTTTTTTTTCTTCATTCGCCTCACTCGATCGATGTCGTTTCAATCGGCGCCTTGAACTTTTAAACGATTCCAAACCTGTTATCATTACCTGGCCGTGTAATTGGCTTCGTGTCGAAATAATGCCGTAATTGAAAATTTATTTTCTAAGTATTTTTTCAATCCGACAAGCATTGACTGATGAATTGAACTCGATATTTTCAGTCGCGACAACTTTATACATCCACATTTATGTAATCTTACGGTGAAATTGCGCGTGCCCAACCACTTATCGATCCATGTTATCGAATCAACAAGTAAATCATGCTGAGAGAGAGAGAAAAGTCAAACACGATGAAATTGAATTATGACCAAGCGCTTTGTGTCATTATGACAACAGTGTTGTCACAATAACATGAACGACCATTTGGTTTGCATGGAATTTCTTGATTTGGGCATTTTGGGAGTAGGTATGATGACGAGCGAGAGTCTTTTTTTCGCATCGAAATCTTTTTGTCAAACTTCTTTCGACGAATGATGGACTCGTTTGACCTTGGAACGTATTTTCTTTCTTCACTTAGTTTCGCCTTTCTTTAGATGGCTTCTTCTTTCTTCACCTAGCTTTTTCGTTCTTCAGCTAACGTTGTGATGAAGATGAGCTTAAGATGGAAGAGAAGAACTTTTGACAAGATTTTAGAGTTTTTTTTTCCAGCAAAAATGAGTCTTTAGTTTGTTTTTATTCATCTCTTTGTTGTGTTTCCTCTCCTTTTTCGCCCCTTTTTGCTCCTTTTGTTCTGTTTATCGCTCGTTTTTGCTTTTTTCCTTCTTTTTTTGTCGATTTCCCCGTTTTTCGCTCATTTTTGGCTCTTAAGCACATCTCATTCCTCCTTTCTTCTCATCTCTTTGTTCGTATTCCATTGTTTTTGGCCTCCATCACTTTGTGTTTCACTCCATTTGTCGCGACAAACGCGTTTTCTTCAAGAAGAAACCACGTTCTAAAGGAATTTCCAGTAAAAAAATGCAATCAAGAAAGTGATTTTGCCTCAAAATTTCAAAAAATTCGTCAAGTACTTTCAAAACGATTGACGATGACAGAAAAAATGGGTCTGAAAGCTTTACAAACGCAGATCCGATGCGTGAAAAAAGTAATTTTTTTTCTCGAAAAACGAAGAAATGTTCAAAGAACGACGTTAGAAACCCTCTTAAAACACCGAAAAAAATGTATTGGGTTTTCAATTTGCGTTGCAAATCCCGCAAAACACTCTTATTTTGCTTCGAAAGCACTAAAAACGGTTTTCAAACACGCAAGTAAACGTTGAAACCCGTTAATGGTCAATAAATTTGCATAAAATAGCCAAAATGAGCCATAAGCCACCACTTAAATGGATGCCATTTTCGAAAATTTCTCAAAATTTCTCACGGATCTCCCTTGTGGCAATCGTCAAAAACTCTTTGTTCATTGAACCGAACACAATGGGACGTCGAAAAATTGCACGACTCTCGTCAACGTGTCGATTTCATTGGATATAAACAAATTAGTGGCAATCAATAAAATGAGTAGAAAATATTCGTGGAAATTGATATAATCGAAGCGATCATTGATAAAATTCATAAAAATCAATAGCGCTAATGTGAAAATAGATGAAACGATCCCGATAGCACCGTGCCGTCATCCGATTGCGAATTTCTTACCGATTCTATGGTATTTTGTAACACTCTTGCGGTGTGTAATTAAGATAAAACAAGTCGAACGGGTTGAATGAATGGAATTAGCAATGGTGGATGGGTGTAGTTCCAGTGCTAATTACCCAAGTGTTGTAAAGCAAAATCACACATATCGTTGGTATTATCACTTGAATCGTTTGTTGAAGAATTGAAATGGCTTCGAAGCCCGAAGTGTGTATGTGGAAATGCAATAGAAACCGATTGATTGGTGTGACTGTCGAATGTAGCGGTAGTGTGAAAAAGAGACGCAGCATCGGCACAAAAAAAAGAGGGAAAAGAAATTTAATTAATAAATATTTTATTGTTGTTGTTTGAAGAGAGCGCGCGATATTATGCATGTAAATTGTGGCCGTTGAGCGGTGAGCGCGCGCGCACAGCTAACGCAACTGATGAGATTTCTTTTCGATGAAAATGGGCAAAAAAGAGAAAGAAAGAAAAAAAAGCAACAGCCACCAGTGGTGCTACTGCTTCTGCCTCGTGAAGAAAAGTGAATCAATTTTCAAACATGCAACGCTTGTGTGTGTGTCACGTTGCAAAGCGAAGCGCGAATGAATTAAAATAATAATAGAATAAAAATAAAAATAAAAATGAAAGAAAGAAAAAAACACAAATTCAAACAGTTGCTCAACCGACGGATGCAACTCCGTCAAAGCGAATGCATGAGGCTTGGCTCTGAAACACTTTCTTTCTTTCTTTTTTTGTACGTGCAACAGTAGCGAATGGTAAGAGAAAAGGCGGCCGAAAGACGAAGAAGAAGAGCGGCTGATTTACACACACGTTCCGTTTGTACGTGAGCTGAACATGAAACCGAAACACAACAAGAAAATGCACCGTTTTGAAAACAGCAGCGATCAATGGCTGCTTGCTTGGCTGCCTGTTTATACATGGATTTTTTCGCACGCACACACACCAGTGCCACCTCAGCCAGCCGATCAAAGAAAGAGATTTCGAATTTCTGTTTCATTTCAAATTTGGTATCGAAGAAAAATGATAATTAACAGCGGGTTTTTTTTTGTGTTCGACGAACAATGTTCGTTGATGATGCGTATGCGTGGATGGCTGACTGGTTGATTGTGAGCTCTGCATACGCAATCCAAATCAGAGATATGAAATCGAAACTAAGTTGATTTTCGATCGACACAGCCACCTTGTTCATCCCGCAAACTCAACGCACATACATTCCAAATGTTCCGTTGGCTCCAAACACTAAATTGAGCCTCTGTAATTTCATTCATACAACCAGCAGCAACAACAACAAAAAACGCATGCATATTATCTGAATCAATGAATTTTCAAATGCGCGTTTCGCTCGCACCTTTCTCTTAATTTCGGTGCACCGAACAAGAGCGCGCTTGATTGTTGAGCAAGCCTTGGTCGCACTCTTTTGTTTGACGTGTGCTTTTTCTTCTCACTCTCGCATCACCATTTCTATGGCTTTTGTTATACAAATTGCGGCCGATGCCAATCGCTTGATAACAGTGATTTTTGTCATACATTTTCCAATGGACTGATTTCAATTCGGATTGTGAAAAAGTCACTACTTTTTTGCTGATTCTGCAACTATTTAGGTTTTTGTAATTATCGAGAGTTATTTCTGAAATTTCTGCTCTTTTTTACATCGATGGGCGTTTTTGAATTAAATTTTTTTTCGATTCACATAGCAACTTCGTTGATTCAACTTAACTTATTTTTAATTTTTTTTATACTTAATTTAACCTATAATAACCCATTGAATAACATTAATCGTATGTCGGTGCTCTTCTATTTCCAGCAAATGAGCATTCGGTTCAATGATGTGTTGACGTCAACATTTGAATACCCATCGGAGAGTTCGTTGTGCGAAGAGATTGGACTGTCAAACGGCGATAGTTTCGATGATGATGACTCTGATTTACTCTACAGCAATGGCCATTTCCTCGGTAGTTCACCAATTGGTAGGTATTTTGACATTTTCATGCCCATTTTTTTCGGGTTTTAACCTTTTTACACCATTTCATTTGTGAGATATTCATGGTAAACATTCGTCATTAGTTGTTAAATATTTGGCAAAGTTGAACGTTCGGCCGACGTCGTTCGCTCACCGGTGAACATTTGAAAACTTTTCAACGGGCTTACAAACTTTTTATTTTTCTTTTTTTCCGCTTACTTTTTTCGAGCATTCGTGAACAATTCACCACATTCGCCGATTTTTCCTCCACATAAAATGCTTTCGCAATATTTTGACATTTTAACCTGTGTGTTTCTCTCTCGTGCACACTTGTCTCTCTATCGTCGATCTAAATTCATCATATTTTTTCGCTTGTTTCATGCATGCTCCAGTTTCATCGCTAAAAATACAAGTGGAAAAAAAAAGATTTCTAATTTGTTTGTCATTTTTCGTAGCTCTGCGTAAAATTCCATAACGGCGGCAACGGCAGCGACGTCGGAAGCAATGCAATAAAGAGTTAGACAGCGAGAAATCCGAAGTTCGTGACTATTCACTTTTTTTTTCTTCTATCTCTCACTTCTCACTACATCTCGAATTCATTATGGATTTCTATTTTTTTTTTCTCGCGTTTTCGGTTCTTCATATGCCGGCATTGCACTTGTCGATTTCCCGTCGTAATTCAAATTTATTATTTCTCTGAGCCGTCAGAAAATCCAGCGTTTAAAAAACACTTTTTTTGTGTTCGAAAATGCGGAATTCAGCGAAATCTCCGGCAGAAAATGAAATTTGATTCATTTACAAAGAAAATTAATCTGAAGAGAGAAACACAAGATTCGTAGGTGAATTGATTTCCATTTAGTTTGTGCGTGGAAATGAACATTTAATCGATTTACAATCTTCGGGTAAAAGTTAAAAAAAAAAATTAAAGAAAAATCGAATGAACGATCGAAATATGCGGCCGAAATGACCCGAAAACAGGGAAACAACTCCGAAAAATGAATGAGAGCCATTCAAAAATATTTAAGCGTCCGACAAAAATTAAGCATTCTAAAACTGAACATTCAAAAATTGGAGTGTTTAAAAACAAAAAATGAACATTCGAAATGTTGAGCAAAACAAGGTTCTCGACGCAAATTACGGCCACTTTCTAACTCGTCGCCGAGACTAGAATAGCAAATGACCAGTACCTATATTTACCACGTGAAATTACACGTTTTATAAATTCCAAGCACTCGCTCAATTTCGCTTCGATGCTTTAATCAGAACAATGACGTAGCGTCAACTAGGCGAATGTACAATAACATTTCATCAATTTTTCATGTTCAATTAAAAGAGGCTCAAGAAGAAGAAGAAGTTGAAGAGTGCACAACGCACACTGAATACTTAATTCGAACGCGACGCGTACGCATCTTTTGATGATGATCAAGATCATCACGCATTGAATACCATCATTGAACACAAAATGATACATCTCACCGCAATGGGATGGGATGGGTAACGAGAATTCACGCATGATATTTTTAAATCACGCACAATTTTTCAAATCGATTGCGTAAATCTCAACCTACCGATGGAAAACTTTCGAATCAGCTTCGACCGACGCCACGCCAATAATTGCCAATTTCACTTTTTATTCTAGCAACAACAAAATTACACATTTTTCGCAAAAATTTTTATTTTCATTACGATTAATCGCAAATAATAATGGAATTTTTCTTTCTCTCTCTTTTCTCTCTCGTTTTGCAGCATCGGTGCCGTTGGGAAACTACCAACCCATCAAAATATTCAATACGAATTTTGAACTAGGCGTTACGCGTACAAACACATCATCACCAAATCAAAACACATCGCACAAATATCAAGCACCACCACCACCTCCACCACGTACACACAGCAACGGAAAAGGTGAGTTTGGATTGAGATGTAATCGAAAATGATGGTCTTAGATAGAAATCTTGGGACTTGCTTCGTAAAAATCTTCTTTTTTCTCATCATGAAAATCAATTTCCCCATGAAAATTGAACTTCTCATTCATCTCGAGAGACTTTCAACCGAAACTTTTCTAAATTAGTAGGAAAATTGAAAAAATTCGTTTTTTTTTTCAATTCATGAATTTGAAGAAGAAAAATCAAGCTTTCAATTTTGGACCTTTAAATTCAATAAGTCTCTATTCTAATTTTTCAGTTTTTGTGGAAAAAATTAAAAAAAATGCAATTGTGTCAGTTTTCTACCGTTCTTAGACCAATTGTGATGACCAATTGTCACTGAGTCACTAACCATATGCCGGATTTCCATCGCAATTAACCATGGGTTACTCTCTGTTTCTCTCTCTCTCTCTCTTGCTCTTTGTCACTCTCCAACGGGCGTCCAAAGTTGATTATCTAAGCCCATATCGCATGAACCATCATTTCCACTATGAAAAATTGCTTTTAAAGTGTTTTCCAATTGATATTAATTTGTTGTATTTTCCCATCAAATTCGTAGTGCCGAAGCCAGTATCATCGCCGACGGCAGTGAGTCCGCCCGATCATCATCAGCAATTAATTAGCATCGATAGTTCGACCACGGCCACATCAAATGGTGGTGATCCGGAGAGTTTGCAGTATTTAAAGCCGGCGAATGAAGATGCGGTGGCCTGGAGTGAAGGCGCCAGTGATTTATTATTCTAATTCCAATACGTGTGTCTCCGTGTGTGTGTGCTTTTTTTTTTCTTCGTGTAATTGCAGTAATATATAATTAAGATTGAAATGAGCTGAGATATATTTAAGAGAAGAAGTAAAAGAGCAACAAAAAAGCGCAGATTCAATGAGATGGTTCGCTGTCTGTGGATAATGTAATAACGAACAAAACAACAACAACAACAAAATATTCTGTCTATCGATAAAATCGAACAAATTCGGAAAGAAAATACATTTATTTTATAATAGATCTGTAGATTATAAGTGAAGAAAAAGAACAGAAAAGTTCGCTGTGCGTTCGCCGAATTGCGCGGTAAATTAAGGCAAAAAAATAATTTTGTTTCGCTCAAAATCGATATAACTGAAGCGCCCGTTTTTTTTTTGTGAGTGTTTGTTGAATCAACGTATCGTCTCGATGACTGTGTTGGTGCGAACGACAGCGTCTTAATTGTAAGAAGAGTAGTTTTTTTTCTTGCGAGGATTTTAATATATTAATCAAAACACTTCTGCTGTAAATAGACACAACACTTTTTTTTTCTTCCACATTTGGTTGGTATCACTTTTCAATCGGTCGAAATTAGCGCTGGTCGACAACAGTGAATATTGATGTATATCGACAGATGAATAAGCTCGCTCCCCACTCCCAAACATATATACAATTTCCATAATTATGCGCGTAGTTAGCAATTTGATCTAAGCGAAACGAAACCATTAGAAAACGAAACAGAAACAACAAATACGAAATGTACGAACTACGAAGAAAATGAAAATAGCGCAAAATTATTACAAAACTATTTATTCAAGAACTTAAAATGCGAAGCAATAACAACTAAAGAAATATGTACGCGAATATCATCATTCAAAATAATTATTATCATTATTATTTGCGTTAATGTTATAAATAAGAGAGTTGGAAAGAGAAACAACACAAATTGTCAATCGGGACTGATATCAATCGATTTTGTTTTTGTCTTCTCTTTGCCACTCGGTCATACCTTTTTCTTCGTACGGTTTTGCCTTGATGATGATGATGATTTTTTTAAACGAATCAAATTTTGAAGCATAGAAACGAATAACGAAATAATAACATAATTTTTGCAACACATTTTTTTTGATACAAATAAACGAAATAAATGAAGAAATATGCTAAATGTACTCAATGCTGTGTGGTGTTTTCAATTTTGGTACGGTTTTGAATTTTCAACGAATTTTATGGTTTTGAACGGGGATTTGGACATTGGGTAGATACAATTGGCGATTGTTATTTGGGTTTTGCGATTGGACACTCAGCAGGGATTTTCAACACATTCCAGAATTGTTGGCGCTTGTAAACAAATTGTTGGTGGCACCAACTTGGTGCTTTTTGTTTTCGATACGCAAGAAAGGTGTTCATAATCATAATCGGCCATAATGAATCTTTTCGAAGCCGAAAAAGGTCGACGCGACAGTATCTTCCGAATATGCATCCAAAGAGGATCGTTCCAAAGTCAACATGCTGCTTCAGTAGCTCTGACCTGAAGATTCAATGCAAAACTTCGACCTTTGAAGATTAAAGCGTGGGGGAAGAAGTGGATAAAATACCGAAATAGGTTTCTCTGAAGTGGATTTTCTCAACGACATTGAATCCGTTACTCTTTACTGGATTTACGCTTTGACCGTGCTTGATTCTCTGCTTCATTCTCCGCTTTACCTGTGTAAATGCTAATTTCAGTGCCGGATCTTTCTTTCACTTTTTGAGTTCAAACCTAGAGATCTATTTTCTACTAAAATTTAAAGTCTAAACTCAACCTGAGCTGAGCAATTCAAGAAAAACCTTAGCGATGATGATTCAATCGTCGCATTTTTCCATATATATTTTCATGCTTGTTTTCCGCTTCGAACCAAAGCCCATGAAATGGCATCAAGCGTGAAAACACACCAAAATATGAAACAAACATGTTGACTTTATTTGTACACAACGCAACGGTTACAAAGGTAAGTTACGTTACTTTTGGTTCAAGAAAAAACGTTAATTCAAACAGCTATTAAAAGTGCTATTTCGTATCCGATGCGAAAAAAAGCTCGAGTTGAAAAAAAATCGCTGTAATTTCGAAATGATTAAAGTAAATCGATTGGTAAGTTAGACGTATGGCTCGAGTAATATTCAAAATGTTGTGTGAATGCTTTAATTCTTCAAATTTCGAATTAATAGCTTGGATTTAAAAGCCTCAGCAAAAAAAACCGGACAAACGCATTCGTTCTCACATTCGATAGGAAAAAGCAGTTCGTTTGAGACGAAGAGACGACGAGTCGATGAGTCGAAGAGTCGAAGAGTGAAACGGTTCGACATTAGCACACGAGATAGAAATTCCCAAGAGTTCATCAATACCATGAAACTGTTCTTCTTCATTAACACAGCTAAAGCAGACGGCATCTTCTATCCCAACATCTAACGAAAGACATTTTCTATTTCAACAGAAGAACCAAAGCAGAAGAAACAACAAAGAAGACCTCAGCCCACGTGATGATTCATTGACAATGATTTTTGTTGTTTAATTGACAAAACGTGAGCGCGAAATTTCCCAACGCCGAGAAAATTGATTTTATCCATTCGAATTCTAGCCTCAAACAACGTTCTTTTTAATTCAATGAATTTTATCATTTATTTTTTATCGATGTTAACGAAATTAAATTGCGTGATTATGAAGTTTATTCGACCGCCCCAAACCGAGCGTTGAACACTTTAACCGTGCTTATTGACAATCTAATCGAATTTTGCTTACGCGGCGCGTGACATTCAATTTCGTTGCGTTGTTTCTATTTCCACTTTTGCATTCAATTTCTTCGCTTTTTTCCCCATTCCATTCGTCAATGCGGCTCGAGTTAGACTCATGAATTTTTAGAATTTTTTTCATCGTTTTTTTTTGCTGCATCAGACAAAAACAAAATAGAATTGGCTCTAATCGTTAATAACGATTCGTAATGTACCGACAATTTTTTGTCCCGTAGTTGAAAACAACGATGAAATATTTAGTGAGGTGCAAGCTTGACTGGTACTCACATTTCAATGGATTCGAATCGATTCGATTGGACTTCAATGAAATCACTTCATTTGAATTTTAAGCTCATTTTGAAACGTACGAGGGAAAATGAATTTTTGTCAACCGAACTGTAACATAATTCTTGGGCTTAGGAAATTGTTCAGAAAATTATCAGTTTTTGGACTTGAACAAGAACTTTTTTGTTTTTCTATGAGGTTTGATAAAGTCGGCTGTTATGCAAGCAGAGAAATAGTCAATAGACATGACATTTGTAGAAGCAATGCTTGTTAAACATAAATCGGCTTTGAAACTGTACCGTACAATTTACATATGTGTAAGTTAATACACGATTTTTTTTTTGGTAAAATACATAAATCAAACGACATTGAATGATATAGACTCCATATTATAGAGAGAAAGAGTGGAAATTTTCGAAAAAGTCCGACTTAATATTTCTTTGACTAGGTCCGAAAAATAACAATGACAAAAAGAAATTGAATCCTCGAATTGACTATAATCATTATTCATAATTATGAAAAATGCGTTTCAATTATTTCGAATGGAATATGAATCGGAATTTTCTTGGCTATATCTCGGGCTCCCAATATAATGGGAATTAACCAATTTCCAAATCCTCTTTTTATTAATAAAATACAATTTTATTATTATGGGTAGTCTTTGTCTTCAGTCATGGCAATTATTTAAATTATATCAAATGCATGGCGGTTGAGAAGAAATGGTTCAAAAGCCAATGGGATATGAATCGATTCCAACGATTCGGGGTAATTTGAGAAGTCAAGACGTAATTTCGTAAGCTACGCTGTATGGTTAATTCCATGTGATTATTCAAAAATAATTCTTTCGAAATGAATATCGATCTGATGACCTATCAGACCTATCAATGATTTACTTAGCAATAAAATCTTTATGAAGAAAATTTTCTAGCTAAAATAGTGAATCTTGAACCATTTTTTCATCAAACCATTTCCTGCGCTACTACTGAAAGGAAGTCACAGAAAATAGAAGCAAACTTTTTCAAAAATCTTGGACACTGTACTTTTCGGACAATTTTCATACCTAATTGAGCAAAATCATTTTCCAACTGTTTTCATTCTAAAGAGGACAGAATTTTTTTCTTGCTTTCAAAAGAATTTCTAATAGTACTAAAAAAGTTCGTAACAGTTAAATAGAAAGAATTTCAAAAACAAGTTTTGCCTCATCAAATTTTAAAAAGTGACATCGATCCCAATTGGCTGAATAACTTCATCGAACTTGTGGTATTGCAATTTTCAATGGTAATGTTGAAAATGATATAAATTGGCCGACATTGAGTGCAATTTGGTCATAATTGAAATATAAGTCTCGAAAGCAACTGGCAGTAAAGTGAAGACATGGATAATTCAAGCTTCTTCTGGTCAAATTTTAGTGTTCTGGAAAAAATTGGTATATGGACACCGTTTTATGATAAAAGGTAAAAACTTATTACGGATTGAACAGTGAACCGTTTTTAAACAGGTTAAAAATTCAATCGAAAATGGTTTCGATGAGGAAAAAGAGAAGAAATGAAAGGGCAAATGTGGTAAAAGAAACTCAAAATAAGCATCAATAGAAAAATTGGCCTTAGAATAGAAGGACTCTTTAGGTAGTAAAGAAGCAAAAATCTTCTAAAAGGAATAAACTGAATGCTAATGACCAACTGAATGCCAAACTGAAATCTCGAAAATAGTTTGTTCATCTATTCAGAAATTTTAAACGCAGCAATTTTTTATTGTTCACACAAACATTATATCCTTTCCAAAATGCTGTCCATTTTCTCCGCAGTGTGGACCATGGCGTCAAGAAAAAGATTTACGACATCTACAGAGCGGCTTTTTTGGTATTTGCATCAATACACACCGGCGTGGAAATCATAATGTTGACTTTTTTCTTCGATCAGCTAGAAATCGATGAGTTGACTGTATCGATTGCCTTTACAATTCAACATTCTCTCGGCATCGCCAAAGCATACATTATGTGAGTTCATTCCAAGAAGATCGTATTAAAAAATTTGATTCAAGATGTATTTTATCTGTTTTAAACTTTTCCTACCATTTTCAAATATAAATTGACTGTTAATCTTTGTTGATTTTTGTTGAATTGTCATTTTGAGTCAAGACATTCCATCAAACATTTCAATTTAGAGAAAAATACGTAAAATTTTAAGTTGCACAAAAACATTCAATCTGAGTTGAAAGGAAATTAAAATATGCACATAAAATCATTGTTATTACCTTCTTTGGAACAGGATGTCGCGAAAGTATGAATTTCTGGAGTTGGACCGTCGTACGAAAGAGAAACCGCTGTATCGTGCCAATAACCCGAAGTATATCACTTTTCATCTGTTTGAAAATATTCCGTTTGTTTATATTTTGATCAAAAGTCGCTTTTTCTGTTAACTTTATCAAGTGTTTTGTTTATTTATTTCGATCGGTCAATAAACGCGGTTCGAACCATTCCAACAAAACCGCTTCCATTCCACTTTTTTACATATTTATCAGCTCTGGTTGTTACCATCGTTGATTTACAGCCTTTTAACTTTGTTTAAGCAACACATTTCAAATTTAAATTGCAGATTTCACGAAAATTTGGATAACACGGTGAGTTTAAGTGATAAACTTGGTTATATTTACTGGTTTGCGGTGTTGTCTACGATCAGCTGTGGTTGCGCAACTGGCATTTATGTAACGCTGACTAACAGAATGGCTATGGTTCAAAGCTGCCAAGAAAAGTACGATCTTTACGAAAATTTCATAACTAGAAATCAGATTGAACTTGGTGCTGTTCCATGGATAATCGTGGAAAATGACACTATTTTTTCAAGAAATACTCTGAAGAACCACGATGAAATCAATGAACTGGCACAGCGGATTAACTTTTTTGAACAGGAGATCAGGTAGTTCTTTGGACTTTTGTCATATGCTTTTATCAAGTGGCTGAATTTGTTTAATCAAAACCATGTTTTTTTAAAATAGAAAATTGATTTTCTAAACAAAACCTATAACAAAATAATGATTTTTTGAATGATTTTATAATAATTTTAATTATTTCTTCCAAAAAGCAAAATGAATTTAAAAGTTTCGAGCAAAGATGTGCTGGAATGCAAACGACCAAAGCGAGTTTATCCGTATCATGTATGGCTGCCATATGGCAAATACACACGTTATTATGAGGTGAGTGGGAAATTGAAATCATATCTTCATTATTTTGCAAGACTAAATAGATTAGTAGAACAAATAGAGAATAGAAAAAAAAAACGAAGAAAAATTGGAAAATTTTGCTCAAAAGTGAGCATGTTAACTTGCTGCAAATTTTTACAACTAATGTGGTTTTGATTATTTTTAAACTTTAGATAATATTCGTTCTGAATTTCCTGGGTGGTTTGTCTTTGGTGTGTGTCATCTTGCCGATTGATAATTTGGTCATGAGTTTTATGCGCTACATTCGATTCCAATTTTATGTCATCAAAGATGATCTGGTGAGTATGTAAAACGAGGGGATTTATAGCTAGATAATTCATATATGAAATTATCGCTTGAAGAAAAAGACAAATCTATTCTTGTTCCATTTTTATTGAAATTTGATTTTGTTGCTCATTTCTGAATCAATCACATTACTTCCACGATTTTTTCTGAAAGCGCTTCACTCGTTAAACATTTCCTTTACAAAATTATCATTAAAAAGTTAAAATAATAAAATTATTCTTTGAACAAAAGTTGAATCTCCGGAAAAATGTGGAAAATGAACTTAAAAACATTCACAAAGAGCTGCCAGGTAAATTGCCAATTCAGATTATTTAAAAAAAAATTTCATTGCAATGCGAAACAAATAGAAAAACACATTTAGAGCTATAGATTCTACGAACAAAAACACGTTTTATTGTCATTTATTTACGAAAGATTAAACAGAAAAATAATTTTAAAAAAAAATCGTTCGAAATATTCAGGCGAACGGATTGTTGCTGTCCACATGAATAATCGATTGATTGAGATTGTAAATCATCACATTGCTGTTTTTGAGTAAGTTGACCGATCAAAAGCCTAGAGTCTAGACACTTGACTGGGGCTGCTTGGTTAACAGCCGGTCAAATATAATTTATTTTCTATTAAAAGTTTGATTTTCATTAGAATAGATCAATACTCCATTTTTGCATTCAGTGAAATTTTGGTATTTTTGACATGCCTTTGATTTACCCTTTTTTGTTCCAGTTTCTTCAATCGGGCCGATGATCTATTCACTTATGCACTCTTTGCTCAATGTAATTTCGCCCGCATTCGTACTTTTAATTCAGTTTCAATCATTGTATGAATTTTATTTCGGATAATTCCAGATATCGCCTCGGGTGCAATGATCTGCGGTGTTTTATTTTCAATTTCAACCGTAACCGATCATTTGATGACACCAAATTTCTTTCATGTTGCCTTCTTTTACTCTGGACTCATCATTCAACTCTACACCAATTGCTTTTATGGGAGCCAAGTGTTTGTTACGGTAAATATATTTTGCTTTCAAATGGAATAGTCAGTCAAAATTGTGTACAGAGAAAAGCTGATAGTTTCAAATTATATTCAGACTTTTTTTTTCAAAAATCTTGGGCGTACACATATATGCGGATTGACTAATCATAAATTGAACATTAACTCGATTGAATCAATCAAACCATGCCGAATTATTCCCAATTAATATCCGTTTAAATCCATTTTAGAGTGAAAATATTCGTCAGCATGCTTACTTCTGTGGGTGGGAAGATTCTGGCAAGTACATGGATCGCATACAAACCACATTGAATATGATGATGATGAGGTCGAAAAGAGCTTGTCGACTAACAGCAGGGAAATTTGCTGCAGTGGACTTGCCGACATTCTTGGCCGTTTTCAAAGCCAGTTACACCTATTATACCGTTTTAGTGGATGACGATCGAAGGTAGACATATTGATACATATCATACAACATCGTTTAGAGGCGTTTTAAATGTAATTGCTGCTCTGGTTAGATTCACTCGTATCTTATTCACCAAAATCTACAACATATTAGTATTGTCACATTCAATGTATATTTATGCTCAATGATTTCATATAAAAAAAATTTGTTCAAGAGAAATATCGAGTTTTTTTTTTTGAATGGTTCAAAGGAGCAAATCTTGCTTAAATTCAACGGCTGTATTAAATCACGATTGATTAAAATCAACTGGCAATTATGTAAATGTCCGTAGAGCGTTTGCAATACATTTACATACAAATACTGAACAGTCCCCAATAATGAATTATAGTGATAACGATCAAATGGACTGGTTTAGTCATTACTTTTGGCGCTACTATGTGGCTAGACTGGTACCAATCGCTTATTCCATCAACACAAATCAATGGTTTCAGTGGTGTAGTGGTTATCACTCCCGCTTAACACGCGGGCGGTCGCAGGTTCAATTCCTGCCTGAAACAATTCTTTTTTTCTTCAAAATATCAATAATGATAAATTGTAATGTTCTCGTCCGACAATCTCGTACATTGTTTTTTCTACTGTTTTCACAATTGTGCCATCCATTTTGTGATTCATTCAATCTCTTTCTTTGTTATTTTAACATTTAAGCTGGTTATCGGCTTTTGACTCCCACATTCACTTAACATCATACATACCATACAAATGTTCTCTGCTCTAGGTGCTGAATAGTGTTCTTTATTTCAGAAATAAAGACAATTAAGCGGACGATAAAAATGAAAGAAAAAACATTTAAAATTTAATTTATTTTTATTTCGTTTCGAATTTTGTTAGTTCTACATTTTGATTTCAACCAACTCGCAATGACGTTATTTAGGAGTTCCAGAAACTGTTTGAAAAAAAAAAACGTTTAATTTTCTCAATTAAATATTTGTCATTGGTTAGCCTGATGTTGTATTGGTGGAGTTTGCAATTGCCAATAGATGCTGTGAAATGCATTGGTAAATGATACTGAAGTCCAAAATGTTATGCGCTCTATAGAATGTACATGTGAGGTTGTGTGTCTTTTTACATTGTAAGCTTATTCTTCCACAGACGTTTGTTGATCGATTGGTCGGCATTGAATGAATGCATTTCCTTCTGTGCCATTTGGACAGGTGCACATCGGAATATGATTGTAAACGTTACAAACAGCATTTGGTGCACATATTGTACTTCCACAAGGATTCACGCACTTGTTTCGTATACAAGCCTTGTCTCTTGAGCAATCGTTGTTAAAAATACACTCCGCTTTGTTACTTGGGCAGTCGGAATTGAGAACACATTCATGGTGACAGTTCGGTGGTGAACCATAATAATTTGGCAAACAAAAGCATTGCGGATAGTCGCCAATTACTTGGCATTGACTGTTAGGGCCGCACGGACTTGGATGGCATGGGTGGGCGACGGAAACAGGTGTATCTTGAGGCGCTGAAATGTTATACACAATGTTATTATCAAAGTGAAAAACGAAATTTGATTTTCGAACTTTCGGAAAATGACATACGTGGTATTGGACTACAAATAGTGAATGGATTTCCAGTGTAACCGTTTCTGCATGTACAAATTGGGCTATGATTTTTCACGCGACAGTCAGCATTTGATCCACAGATATTCGAGCAAGGGTTAACACATTTCTGGTTAACACAAGCCTTATCGAATGGACACACTCTGGCCTACAAGCTGGAGCATTTCCAACAAAACCAGGCAAGCATGAGCAATTCGAAACGCCGTTATTATTTTTGCATTGACTGTTAGGGCCGCACGGGCTTGGACGGCAAGAGTTGGATGGTTCAGGAGCAGTTGCTAATGGACAATTATTGTTTAGATTCGAATAAGCATCGATTTTGCAAAAACGAATTTCAAGCGATTATATGAGAATTTAACCACGTGACATAGCATTTAAGCACGAATTTCACTGTTTCTACGACACGGTGTTAAATTATCTTATAAATCTTCGCTTCGGGAAACCTACGTTCAGCTTGTTGAATAATGGGAGAGCAGTATCGATAAGAGTCTCCCGTGAAACCAGGTCGGCATACGCAAGTTGGTAAATGGTTCATCACTTGACAATCAGCCTGAACACCACACACTCCGGGGCATGGATCAACGCATTTATTTCTCTCACACGCCTTACTTGACGGGCAATCGGTGCTCAATGTACATTCTGGTCGACAACCTTCGTATGGATTGCCAATATATTCTGGCAAACATTGACACGAGCCGGCGCCGTTTTGTTCTCGACACACAGCGTTCGCTGAGCATGGATTTGGAGAGCACGGATTGATTTGATCATAATGAATTGGAGTTTCTTTGACCGAACATTGAACAAATGGATCGCCAACATAGCCTCTAAAGCATTCGCAAATCGGTGTATGACTGACAACATGACACTCGGCATTTTGGCCACACACTCCGTTCGCGCAAGGATCTTTGCAGTGTCGATTGACACAAGCAAGGTGATTGGCGCATTCCGAATTTTTCACACACTCAGGTCTGCAATTGGGAGCTTGACCGATGAAATCAGGCAAGCAATTGCAAGTGTAATTATTTCCATTAAAACGGCATTCAGCGTTCGAGCCACACGGCGAGCTCAAACACGGGTTCACATAATCTTCTTCAACAAACGGCGGCGTTTGTTCAACTTTGATATGTGGAAAAGGGTGAATAGGTTAATAATGCACGAAGTTTAATGGATAAAGAGATAAGTCAGTTTCATTGCAATGTTATTAAGTTACAGGGACCGAAAACTGTTTGACGTTTCTCATACAAACCGATTTCGGAACGGTCTCACTGCTTTGCTCTCTGTTCATCGGAGCAAACCATATCAAGCGGAACGTTTTGAGAATGATTTGTATAAGCAACGTTAAACCGTGTTGTCACTGTGTTAGTTTTGTATACAGTATAAACGTTTCTGAATGCCATACAAACCATTTTTCAGAACGTTCCGAATGGTTCGGTTTGTTCAAACACTTAAACCAAATATTCGGTTTGGTTTGGTCTGGTTTCAATCCCTGTTAAGTTATTATTGTTAATTTTGAGTGATGTCTTGTCAAAAGACCATTGATGATCATGATCATTGTCTTACCAATTGGATGACAACTAACGAGAGCGCTGCCCGTGTATCGAGGCAAGCAAGTACAAATTGGATTATGGTTAACGACTCGGCATTCGGCATTCAAACCACATGAGTTTGGGCGACAAACCTCAATGGATTCACTGACTGTAGTATTATCCGATTGTGCTGAAATAGTTGTAATATTTCATTGGTTTTGGTTTCAAACTGAGTAAACAAGAGTAATTTGATGAACGATGAACGTTCATGGTGCTATTGGGTTACAAATAATAATGAATGGATCTCAAAGTACAGATAAACCTTAGCACTAGCAATCTGTGCCATTTTTCATAAGGCGTCTCCACTCGCATTGAGTTTGTATTGTGAATGTTAAGGTGCGTGCAACGCCCTTCAATGTAAAAAAACAATACAAGTGGAGATGATACACGGGATTTATGTGTACTTTAACAGAAAGTCATGAACTCGTGTAAGAGGCATATTATTGCGAATAAAATACAACATTAAAGAGAAAAAAAAGTTTACGTTCTACCCATTTCCAGGGCATGAACAACCAAAACAGTGACTGTGATTTGTGGAATTTACATCCGGAGTATCTTCTCGTGCTAAAACTTCAATCACAAAATTATTAATTCGCAGACGGGCAAGCTAAATAACTTAAGTTGTCGGGTAAGGTGGACCAAAGTGGATCCATAGTTTTATGGCTGTAAAATTGAAAAAAAAACACAATATATCTTCAAAAGTGAGACTGTGCTGGAAGCTGGAAAGATGCATCTCTCAAACGTATCATATGCCGATAAAATCGAATGAAAACCAACAGAGATATTAATGCGTGAGCGCAAAAGAGCAACTTAGATTCGCAGTATTTTAAAGTGTAACATCTCCATACAAAATGTTTTTATGGAGATGTTACACTTTAAAATGCTCCGAATCTAAGTTGCTCTTTTGCGCCCACACATTCATATGGCGAGCTGAACTAAATCTCGATACTCTGGTTAGGCGAAAAATCAACGCATCGATACTGTTCATCAAGAAAATAATATCCGGCCAAATGGATTCACCTACACTGAGGAGCAAATTGAATCTTAACATAGGCATTCGTACATTTCGTAACCCAGAATTCATCAGTCTTAGGTGCTCATCAACGGAATATGGACTTAATGCCCCTTTAAACTATGCATGCCGGGTATTCAATTTTGCTAAACTATTTATTGACCCAACGTTACCGTTTTCCGAATTTATAAAAAAGCTACTAAAGCTTCCAGACTCCGCATTTGGTGATCTAACAAGATTGAGAAGTAGCCAATGAGTTACAAAACCAATGATGTATGAAACAGATCTAATTTAACTATTTATTTCTATTTTTATTTTTATCTCTATTTCCAAGAGCTATTTATTTACCTTTTAGTATTTATAGTAGTTTATTTATTACCTTTTTAATTGGAAACAATTATATTCTATTTTATATTGAACTGAACTGATCCATACTAACTCAGCTGTTATGTAAAACTGTTTTTTCAAATGGAAAATTCTCTTTATACTGTAAAAACTTGTAAAAACTTTTGTGAACCTGAATCGTCAGCTTATTTGAGCAGACGCTAAAATGAATAAATAATAACTCTGATTTTTTTTGTCTAAATTATCTATACACCTCCATAGCTCTACTGATGCTGAACTAATTTTGTTAAAGCATGCCACGTTTGAATGATGCATCTTTCTACTTCCCCACTATATAAGTATATAAAAAGGAGTTACTTTTTATGATAAATTGCTTTTTACACAGAAAATATTATCATTTTTGGTGGAGAAATGGCTATTTTTATGCAGTTTTTGACATTTGACAAAAATTCAAATGAATACATGTCTCTGTAACTTTTCTAAGGTTCATCCAATTTTATTGGTATATTGCGCATTGGAAAGAATCATCTTTCTAGTTTTCGGAATAATACTACTTTGGATGATATATTATGTATTCCCAATTTTACAGCCATAAAGCCATGGGACCATTTTGGTCCAATTTGCCCGCTGGTGATCAAATATATTTAGCTCCACAAAATGCCATCTAATGTTCGATGTTTAATTTTCGTTTTTGGTTGTAATACGTGGAAAGGATCAAAGAATACAATATGCAGCACCTTTTCTGCACAAGAATATCGTTTTTATATATTTATTTATTGAAAAACCACCACTTGGACCACAACGGACCCACTTGCCCGGTTTGAAGTTAATTGAAAGGAGAGCTTCCTGTGTGTCAAAACTCGAAACCCCGAATATCATCATAAAAGAACACGAATAACAATCACAATTATCACATTCTACAAACTCTCATCGCTCCGAATAAATTGATTTTGTAAATTACAGCGAGAACCAAACATTTTCTTTTTCAAACTTACGGAAAGGAGTTGCCATTACACCGGCAATGACTGCACAAAAGACAACGAAAGCAACAAAAAAATTCATTTTGAAATTTCTATTTTCTCTGACGAACTGTCTGTTTCAACGATGATTTTCAGTCTAATCACATCGAATTTTGGCACAACTCTTTTATAGAATGACGAAACAGAATTTTCGGATTATTATCACATCATTTGCACGGGTTCAACGGATGATGGGTGTCTAGTTTTTCCTGTTTCAATTTTTGATTGTGTGATTTGAGCGAGCATACCCGTGTGAGAAGAAAAAAATGACTGACTGACTTTAGATTCAGTTGACTGTAGTTGATTGAATTTATGGTTTTGTATGAAGAAAATCACTTTGTCCCAAAATAAGCAATTTATTTTGACGTGTAACTTTAAACGTTTCCAGTTAACTTTGATAGACTTACACTACACGTTGTACTAAAATATGTCAATCAAAGTAGGTCATTTTTGTCCGAAATTAGTTACCTGACTGGTCAGTTAAAATATTCGCACACGGGTACCGAAATGATATAATCCCGTTTAGCACCGGTTTGAGAATTGATAAAAACATCATTTGTATACAACCAAATCAATTTTTTTGAAAACACCCAGTAAATTTTCGACTGGATTGTGTTTCCTCTTCTATTCATCAGATTCGTTTGCGTCACGGTTTTTCCAGACTCATCAAATTGATATGTAAATTGGAACGCACATTTCGATTCTATGGCTCCAATACACCCGAAGCATAGGTCAATAGCATCCAAAAGCAAATCAAGACCAGTGTTTGTTCCTTGATTGTAATACTGCGATAGAGTATTTTGATTCACATCGACATTTCACTTTTCCGTACACACCGTGTCAAGGGAAAGTATAGGAATTGGTCCCGAAAACTTTTTTTTTCTCGCAAAATTGGTTTTAGATCATCATCAAAACTGATGAAACGCGTAGAAAACCACTTTGATGGCAATAATAATGGATTTACTGTTATGTTCCTAAAATGTCCTAAAATAACTCAGAAATATATATGTAATGTCACTTTTAATGCAAATCAAACCATAATTTTTATTTGATCAATAATCGTCAGTCAATTTTTTTTTATTCTTCTTTCCAAAGCGTTAAAGTTTATTTATCTTGGTCAATTGTCTCCACTCAAAAGCTAATAATAACTATTATGAAATCCATAAATCATTCACAGTACAAATGTGTACACAGTCGTTGTTGTTTACACATCAATTTTCCATATTCACACCCGTCCAATAATTCGGTCTCGAACACTTGCTGTGAACTCGACTTCAGTAGCAAGTTGAGGGGAACTAAACTTGACCTAGACGGTACCGGTGAAAATAACCGGCGGCATCTGCACAGGTGTTTGAATGGAGCGACAATTTTTCGTAATTTTATTCGTGTTGTCAGTAGACTGTAAGTCACGGAAAGCAGCAACCTATGAATGTAATCGACCAATTTAAAAAATTTATTGGAAAATAAATTGTAAAAAACCTTTAACAAAATATAAACTAGACAATTTGAATCGTGTTGTATACAAACTTGTTGCTTTGAAACAAACACTGGCGTGCGGTAAATTATCCATGTGACACACTCATTATATGGCTCAGTCGTTAATGATCCATGGTAGGTGAAATAATGTTTATCCAGCTCTTGTAATGACATCCATTCTAAACAGTCTGCAATAGAAATTATGGATTTTTTCCGGTTTTTACCATTTCTGTTCAAAAATATTTTCCTCTTCGTTTAATATTGCAAAAAAAAAAAACGAAAAGTATTTCAAAAGACATTCTTAATCAGAGCTCAAAATTGCAATAAAATTGCAGAGCTTAGATTTGTATATTGAGAGGCATCTGATTTTAAGCATCGTCACCTGATTCCAACGGTGTTTTTGAATATAATTCGCGAATATTGTGGATTTGATCGGTGATTTTGCCGAATAATTCACATTTTTCATATTCTGAAGCTTGAATAAAGAAGGCAACCACAGCTACACCGTCTTTTTTATTGATTGCCAATTTGAAATTGCCATATTTTAAGTTGAAGTGGACCAAATGGACTTCCATTGAATAGCTAAAATGTAAATTAACCACAAGAACATGAAAAAAAGCCACAGAATTAGGACGAAACACTCTATCACAACGTGTTTACTAAATATGTTGTCAATACACTCATCCCACCATATGAGACTTAAAGAAGTGCATTTACTCACGTTTTTCCATCGATGACATGCTCAGAACCCACACTATCACTCTCTCCCCAATGAAAGTGCATCTGCTCAAAAACGTAGCGTTCAGTTGGCGGTAAAAGTCCACCATCAATGTACGGTCGCTCCGTGCGATTTTCAAACATTATCTCCGCATATCGACCGGTGTTTTCGATGAATGCATCTCCATCTTTTTCCCAATGACCGTGAAATTCCAACGGTTGAAACTCACTCTCAAGGACTTTTGCACTTTGCAACGTGATCGCAATCGGTGACTGGACCTTTTGGAGTTTATGACCATTTTTGAGAAGTTTTTTTTCGATGAAAATGAGAGAAATTTCGATCGAAATAAGCAAATTTTGATCAATGAACCAAAAAGTTCTACAAATTCCAAATACTCACATTATTCTCGATATTCGAGGTGTTTAAAGCTCCTTCATTTTCCTAAATGTAGGTGAAGAAATGTATTGATTTTGATGCTGTTTTTTATTGTATTTTTTTTTATTTTCCAATAAATTTTCCTTTCAATTCAATTTAGTGATACTATCAAAAGTGACTACCTCATCCAATGGTTTAATAGCTTCAAAGAGAGCTGATTCCGCCAAGACCACAACGATCAGAACTAAGTGCGATATAAAAGTGTTACAATATACTTTTACGCATTATATGGAAATCCGGACAAGTAATTGTTTACGATTACCTATGATGACATTAACTATTTTTAGCTTCATGTTTCCAAAAATTTCGTTTCACAGGATTCAAGAATTCAACAAGTTTTATATAAAACCAAGTACTGTTCAGTTATCACTTTGAAGGGTCTCCGAGTTTATTTTGATTTGAATGAAACAATCTTCGACCAATCGTCTGATTTCTAAAGGTGAAAACCGAACATTTTCATTCGACTTACTGAACCGAATTTCAAAATTCAAACAACTAAAATCATCCGATGTGATCAATGCAACGATGCAGTCTTGTCCAAAGAAAGGCTTTTAACACACTGCAAACGTTTCCTTTTGCTTTGAAATTACAAGACAAAGGCGTTTTCATTTATGGCGGGAATATTTGATTTATTTTAATCATTTACATTTTTAATGGGATGTAACATTAAAATCGTGTATGAAATTTTCTCACTGACGTCAATTCAAAAGCGGCAAGTGCAACACAGCTTATGGTCTGCCAGTAAAAATGATTGTGGGACGTTTGATTGGTGTTTGGATGGAGCGGCAATTTTTCGTGATTCTATGTATGTTGTCAGCTGAACGTAAATTACGGAAAGCGGCCACCTTTTATCGAAAACGATTAAAATGTAAAAAAAAAAACGATTTTAAACTTTAAATATTTTAAAATGTGTGTACCTGTTGTTTTGACACAAGCACCGGCGTGCGGTAAATTATCCAGGTGACAGACTCATTATATGGCGGCGTTGTCAATGATCCATGGTAGGTGAAGTAATTTTTATTTAACTCTTGTGATGATAGCCATCGTAAACAGTCTAGAAATGAAATTTTGTTTTTTAACTCATTTTTCAGCATAAATTTTTGGTGGTGAATATTTTAATTTGTCTTTCGTGAATTTTTTGTTTCGATGACATCGATGAGGAGAATCAACAAAACGAAGAATCGCAAGAAATCTATTGAAAATCGCCAAAAATCGCCAAAATAAAGGTTAGGAAACATCAAAAAGTTACTAAATTTCAATAAAAGTCCGAAAACCAAGATAATTCACAAAAAAATCACAGAAATATCATCAAAAACTCTTTGAAAATTCACAAAAATTCATTTTCCAAAAATAAAGCGATTGTAAATCACCTGAATCGATATAGGACTTTGCATGTAGCTCCTGTATACTTTGAATGCGATCTGTGATTTTGGCAAACAGAGCGTTTTTCTCATTTCCGGAAGCTTGAATCAAAAACGAAACCACAACAATGCCATCTTTCTCATTGACTGCTTCATCAAAACTGCCGTATTTTTCGTTGAAATGCACCAGATGCGCCTCCATTGAGTAGCTGTGCGAAACCAAATCAATGATGTCGTGATGAAAGAATGTCTACCATTTCAAAGGAGTTTCTTTTAAGTTGCTTCGATTTAAATAACTTATAATTAGTTCTAGTCAAAGTTTATTGTAATCTTCAACGCTGACTCAATTGCCAACACAACAATTCATCAATATGTATTTATACTAAACTTATATGCTAATAGATATTTTCTATAGTGAAAATCATTCAAAAAATCTTTAAACGTGTAAAACAACCTACGTTTTTCCATCGATGATATGTTCAGATCCAATATCGTCTCGTTCTCCCCAGTGTAAGTGCATCTGTTCAAAAATGTAACGTTCATTGTGATTCAAAAGACCACCGCTTATGTAGGGCTGTTTCCTTCGACCTTTGAATGTTATTTTCGCAGATGTTCCCGTGTCTTCAATATATGCTGCCCCGTCTTTTTTCCAGTGATCATTATAACTCAATGGTTTTACATTTCGCAAGGTGTTGCAACTATGCGATGAGATCGAAATTGGCGATTGAACCTGTTGAATGGATAGAAAAATGGTATTTAACAGGAGACGAAACGTTTCTTTTGAGATATTATGAAGAAAAATAAAAGCAAATAGAACAAATCTGACCTATGTCTAAGAAATTCAATCGACAAACAAATTCTGAGCTATATCTGCTGTAATATTGTTCCAGAATTAAATTGGTTATGATCATTATTATGATGAAGAGCAAAAACCATAAATTTTGATATAAGATATAATTCAATTGACTTACCCAAAATTCATCATCTTCCGCGATGTGTCGTCCGTTTTTTGCTTTTTCTACCTTTAAATTGAAAAATCCATTATTTTGTGATTCGATTCCCTTTTCCTTCTGACTGTGTGTCTAGATTTGAAAAAAGAAAACGGAAGGTGATGTAATTTCGATGTTTATCTTGTAAGTAAAAAAACCAATTCTACTAGAAAGAGCGGAATTTTTTATGAAATTGCCCATGATATCGCCCATGAAATTGCCCATGAAATACACATTTGTCAAATGAAAATAACTTCGTCAGCTGAGATTTCCCGTTTGGAAAACAAATGAATGACTGACTGTAACTAAAATTAACTATTGGGTGAAGAAAAAAGTTTTAAAGGATTTTTGCCAAATGGCGGAACTTGTATTATATCGCATCTGGCCATACTGTAATTATATTCACGTTGAAGCTACGTCAAGTGACACTACTTTTCAGTATGTGTCAAATTGCCAAAGTGTAAACAACACAATTTTTTTCGCCTTCAATCATGTCAACATACGTGCCAAAAAACAGCGTTTGCGGGAAGTTTTACTTTTCTTCTATAATTCGAAGAAAAAGCGGATATCCTTGCATCAAGTGTGCACTAATAATGAAGATTGAACCATTCTCGATAGAGTCAAGCAGAAAAAACCATTCTTAGATCGCTGCTCCTTGTCACTATAGAGGGCGCTGTAAGTTCATCACTGAAAAATGCATTTTTTTCATTTTTGGGGGCTGGAGGGGGTAGTAGGGGTGTAGGGGTGGCGTAAATTTATCAAAATAATAGAATTACTCGTTCCTAATAATAATCAATTGGCATATATCAATTATTGACAGCAGAACCACAAAAATTTGACCCATGACACAAAAAAGTCGTTTTTTCGCGAAAAATGGATCAGTGACATTTCATAGAACAAATCAAATATTTCTAAGGACGGCTTCGGACGGGACCGGCTTGGTCAGCCCGCGAACTCTCCAGACCTTGCTCCTTCTGACTACTACCTTTTCCGTTCGATGCAAATGGCCCTGTCCGAAGTACGCTTTCGAAATGTTGAAGAAGTGCGAAAATGGGTTGATGACTACATAACCTCAAAAGACGAGGACTTCTTCAAACGAGGAATCCACAAGTTGCCAGAAAGATGGCTAGAAGTCATAGCTAACGATGGCCAATACATTGGTTAATGTACTCATTCATTTTATCTTGAAATAAATGTATCTTTTCATAAAAAAATCTTTTAAAACTTTTTTCTTCACCTAATAATAACCGATTTTAGTTAACTGAGCAGGTGATTTGTATGAAAAACAGTCGACTACGATTAAAGTACAGATGAATCTCGTGTATCATCCTCCACTTTAATTGTTTTTACATTGAAGGGCGTTGCACGCAACTTAACATTCATAATAAAAAGTTGATACGAGTGGAGAGACCTTATGAAAAATGGCACAGATTGTTAGTGCTACGGTTAATCTGTACTTTTGACCAATCGCTTAATTTGAGACGATTTTAACTGCATTCAATTTGTGATTACTGTTAACTGTGATCAATGTTTGTCTACTGAATGATCACTTTTAGCCAGTCGACAATGTCCCAAAATATTTTCCCACGGGTTGCATCTCCATAACATAGAGTCGATTCATAGTCAATATTTTCCTTCGGATCACTCTAAAAATACTCTTCATAAAAATTACCAATCGACCAAAAATGTCCAATGGATCCAATAGTCCTGCTTCTGTTGAAACTACCGCAAAAATAACGACTAAATTCGGAAGAAAGTGTTGAGACGGTTATTTTTTTGGTGAAAATGACTGAAATAACGTTTATAGTATAGTATAACACTCTATAATACCAACAAATTTGAAATTGTTTTAAATTCATTGAAAAAAGAACCTACGAAAAAATACGTTCAAATTCATTGTGTTCACTTCACTGAATATTATATTCCTACCGATCATTTCCCAATATTTATTGATTTATCTCATTTTCATATCACAGATGCAATTTGAGGAACAACAAATGATTTTTTTTGACAGTGCGCTCATCGGACCATTAGTAAACATGTATGTACTTTATTTGGAAAACAAAGGGATTTACGTATTTTTGTTAAACAAACAACTTCACACACATAGAACAATTTGACATGTTCTTTCTAATCAGAATTAAACAAATTACGTCTGCAAAAAAGTCGACTTATACGGAATCACTTGATCAAATAAATGTTTGGAATAGAAAAAAAAATGCACGAAAATAGCTACTTAATTTAATTGGAATTTACAACAAAAAATATTCTACACATGTAAAGTGTTTGGATATTTACAACAATAAATGCGCCCAAGTACAGCATATTGCCAAAAGTGGTGCCAGCAGTGTGTAGGTGTCTGAGTGGGACAAATGTCTAAATTTCAAATAGATGACACTCTAGAACAGTAAATTTTGCGGAATACGTTTGAAATGATTTCGATTTTCGAATAACAAACAATTCGCTCTAATAACGAGCATGCATCCAAAACGGGAGAGAGTAAATAAAGAGTTTAACAATTTTCTAAAGAAGCTTTTTTTCAAAATGTTCATATTCAAACGCAAAGATGCTCAATTCGCAAAATTTTCTTCAATTTTTTGTCTCTTGGATTCACAAAGAATTATTGACTAACAGTATGGAGTAAAGTATTGACTGATTTATTACGACATTAATTTCTGAGAGATATTGATGTTGACTTATGTGTTATTTTATGTCCCATCGCGGTTCTTTACTTACATGTTATTTGTTTTGGGGGAACTTTTTTCAATTTTCGAAGATTTTGATGGTTGAGAACAGAGCTGTCATCATGGCTTGAGCTATGAGTAGCTGTTGTTCATAATAGTGAGTTTTAAAAAAAAGAAGCATTTATCGAGCTCGCAGTATGCATACTATGCATATTTCCTTCCAGATTTGCCCAGTCAAATTTGATCGAATTCGATTGATCCAAGCGAAATTCGGCAAGAAATAATGCGATTTATCAAGCCGAATAGAATGAGAACAGAAGGAATTTTCTCAATTGACTTTACTTCCAAATCCATTCATATTACTTCCGGAACACATTGGATCCTATCGGATCCACCTGATCCATAAGATTGCCCAGTAATTGGAGCAAAAAAACTCCAAGCTCAATAATTGAGGTAAAATTCTTGTAGTCCATACTTCTCCAGTTCAAATGTTCCAAACAAATCTTCAAATGAGTATTTTCGATGAAAATACGTATAATCGTAGCTATGGTTTATACGCTCTGAAACATGCTACGCTCGGAACATGTATAATTCAGCCAAAAAATTGAACAACACATACCAAATGCACAGAATATTTCTTTATTTATAACAAACGTGTAATTCGACATAATAAATTTTATATCAAGTGCTGCTAAGAATCCACAAATGGTGCTGTTGAATGTTTAATGAGCCGAAAATTACTTTCCAATTTTCTATGGCTATGGCATTTGCACTGAACTCGGTTCGTGTTGTGCTACAATTTCGACTTGAGCTGAATGTTGCGTGTGAAAATGACTGATGGCACACGGTTTATTTGAATGGGGCGACAATTTCTTATGATTCTCTTCGTTTGGTCTATCGACCACAAGTCACGGAATACGGAAACCTTGCAATGAAATACACGTAAATCATTTCAAATTGACTGAAAAATGAACTATAAATTGAAACCTGTTGCTGCGACACATATATCGGCGTTCGATAAATAATCCATGTAACACACTCATTATATGGTGATGTCGTCAATGATCCACGGTATGTAAAATAGTGTTTATCCAACTCTTGCAATGACATCCATTGCAAACAGTCTGGAAATGAATAGCAAGAGAAATATTTTGAATTTTAAAGACAAATTATGTTTTTATAAGTTTATTCGAGACAAAAACTACTTTTGTGAAATGTCTTTTAAACTGAAAACCGCGCTGAAAACACGCTAAATGTGTCCACTGACTTAAAATGAGCAGTAAATCACCTGAATTCAAGGCACATTTTGATTTTGGTTCTTGAATCTGTTCGATATGATCGGTGATTTGGGCAAATAAATCGCATTTTACATCTCCCATGGCCTGAATAAAGAAAGCAACCACAGCTAAACCATCTCTTTTGGTCACAGCCGTTTGTAAATTACCGTATTTTGAATTAAAGTGCACCAAATGTACCTCCATTGAGTATCTGTTCATGGTGGGGTTAAAGTGAAATGTTCATATTTTAATAACGATTGAAAAATATAATCATTTGGAATTTATTCATTAAAAGGTGTTGTTCTGTTCAAATATTAGCCTAGCCGATGAACTTTTACACCCTTAAAATTCATTCCGATTTCATTCGGAAAACGAAAAATCAAAAAATATTGAACATGTGAATGGAAAAAAAATATAAAGAATAAACAGAAAGGAGACAAAAAAAGGGCAGAATAAAAAAGAAATAAAAAAAGAAAAGTGCCAACGACACATGGTGTTCCCAGACGGTCACCCATTCAAGTACTAACCATGCTCAATGCAGCTTAACTTCAGTGATCGGACGAGAACTGGTGCTTTTTACATGATATGGTCGTTGACGAATGTAAACCGTTTTGATGCGTACTCATTTCAATCATTACCGTGTGAAATTTGATGGTTTTCATTGAACAGCTGTTTGAGCTCAATAAAAATAACTTTATATCGTAAAACAGAGACGAGTTTCTTTCGAAGAGAGACGTATTCTTGCATCTTTTAACAAGATTTTTCAAAGAAGGACGCAAATGAGTGAATTCTCCTTTACAATATAAATGAGTAGTTCAATTCCTTCAGTAGCGACTTTCGGTGTTCTTTTAACAAAATTTTCATTCGCTTTCACACAAAAAAACACCATCAAATAACAAAATCATACCAAAAACTATTCAGTGTAAGTTCAACGCATTTACAGGCTTTGAATATGTGTTACTAAACCACGTGGCTGATACCGATTACATGAATTGCTTAAATTGTGAGTATCAGAACGTGATAATTGAGATTGGAATCGATCTGGACCGATCTCTGAGCTCTACGGATTCAAATATTCACAAGTCCTCAGTAGTATAGTGGTTAGTATTCCCGCCTGTCACGCGGGCGACCAGGGTTCGATTCCCTGCTGGGGAGATTATTTTTTTTCTCTTCTCTTTTTGCCTTTTAAAATGTTTGAAGCTGATTTTTTCGACGATTTTCATACATTTCCGCAGAAAAGAATGTAAATTTTACTGTCTGAGACGGTCTTCTTCGAAAAAAAACTCGAAACAAATTCATGTTTAGCCATTACGTTTCAATCTATTTTTATATGAATGCCTAATGTTTTAGTCATTTTATTTGACACGAACAGTTTTCATACACAAAAAAAACATACATCAATATAAAAAATGATGCAAAATGTTTATACTCATTGGTTGTATGTGGGAGCACTGCTCACGCACAATTTTAAATATACACGGATCAAACTAATCATTCGAATTTTCGGATTCATAGACTAAATGTAGAAAATCGTTTAATCTGGTAGAATGTGCTCTAGCACAAACGATTTGCATTCGCTATTTTTAGAGAATTTCAACAGCTCTGTTCGGATGACAACCAATTTCAAACGAAAATTAATGAAATGGGTTTACACCAAAAGCGGTTTACATTCGTCAACGACCATATCATGTAAAAAGCACCAGTTCTCGTCCGATCACTGAAGTTAAGCTGCATTGAGCATGGTTAGTACTTGAATGGGTGACCGTCTGGGAACACCATGTGTCGTTGGCACTTTTTTTTTCATTTTATCTTTTTCACCTCTTGATTTTTCATTCATTTTTCTATTTTTACATTGATTTGGAAAGAATTTTGTTTTTTTGGAAAAAAAAATTCAAAATATTTTTGAAAAAATCGATTGAAAAAATTAATTCAATTAAATTTTTGAGCAAAGTTATTTCAAGCAACTTGTTTGAAAGCATTCAAAAGTATTACGCTTGGAAAATCAATAATTGTGTCAACGTTCGTCGATAAAATGACATATTGATATCTTTCAATTGAAAAACAAAAACGAAGCGTTTCATTTCGATTTTAGCTATTTACAATCGCCAATTGGTGATGTTAAAATTATCGCCAATAATGTGATCAATTTATCGCTTTCTTTGTTTTAACCCATTTTGGACCGCGATCCTTATTTTGTTTTCAAAATGATTCAAACTTTCAGATATGAATAATATAGTCGAAAAAAGAAGTTTCCACTTTCCAGATTGATAATTTTTTTTCGCACTTAGCCAGAATGAGCAAAAATGTGCTGGTCGTTTTTCCGACCAACGGTCCCTAATGTAATCAAATGTAGGTGAAATTTTGAATTTTTTTAATCCTCAAGAAAGAATGAAAATACATTCATAGAATTAATTTTTACCATCAATATCGTTGTTTTAGACGTGTTTTATCACATTTCATAATCGTTTGAATTCATAATATGCATTTTGAATGATTTTAAGTCAGTTGGCCAACGGAGAAAACTTCGAACGAAAATTCTCATGGCACGTTGGAACGATAACGCTTACGTCAACATGATCACAAACTTTGAAACGATTGAGCCATTGAAAACGACCCGACGGTATGATCGAAAGCAAAAGCGAATCGCAGCATTTCATCAGCCGCACCTTATCAATTCTTACAATCAACACATGGGCGGCGTGGATTTGCATGACAATGCAGCAGCGAACTATCGGGTCAATGTGCGTGGCAAGAAATGGTGGTGGCAGTTGAGCACCGCAGTGGTTAATGCATGGAAATTGCATTGTTTCGTGGCTAAAAATAGTGCCAACCCGTTCAAACCGTTATCACAACTCGAATTCCGTTCCAAAATCACCAAGCACTTGATCACTTCCTTCGAGAAAGAGTTTGCCAGTGACGACGAGGTCGATATGGAGAATGATGACATTGACGATCCTGATTATGAACCTGATGGACTGGTAAATGACGCAGTCAAAAGTCATCTCATTGAACGGTCACCAGATGGAAAAAGTCGTCGATGCAAGCACTGCCACAAACACACAAACCAGATTTGCAAACGTTGCAACATTCACCTACACGCAAAGTGTTTCACACTCTGAGAGGCCCACAAATGAATGGAATAATTTATGATGAATTCATTTTTCACTTAATATTAAGTTAGAATAGACATTTCTATTTATTTTTTATCGTTTTATGACTAAACAAATGATTGTCATATCAAATATCAATGTTTTAAAAAGTATCTAAAAAAATTGATTTCTTCCTCTTTTGATCACATATAGGACCAATGGTCGGATTTCCGACCACCCATTTTTACGCACGTGTACTGCACACAAATCACGAAGTAAATATCGGAAGAGGAATTGTATCTAAAAATATGGTCTTTTTATGAAAGATCTGCATCATTACTTTTGCATTTTTTATTTTCCAAATTTTCTTATCTACTGAGTGAAAAAAGGTCCAAAAAACATCATTTTTTCGTAGCTCGATTTGAAAAACTTGGATTTTTTTTTTCCATTTTATTTTGACTCCCAATGGATAGTTCGTCTTTCAAACTTCAATTAAAAAAAAAAAGTAACCAAATTTACCACCTAGGAACTGAGATATCAGTCTGGGAAGCAACGGTCGTTTCACTGGTCGGAAAAACGACCAGCGGGCCAAAATGGGTTAAAATAAAATATTTCAATATTCATTTCGAAAATATTCATAGTTGAAAAGTAGCAGCAGCAGCATTTTATAGCACACAAAGATATCAAATGTCGAATTGCTTTTGAAATATTCAAACGAGTCGAATGAAAGTAGTTTGATTCGAAAAAAGTCGAATGGTCAAAAAGTCGTATCGGTCAATGGAAGTGGAATTACTAGGTTCTCTGAAATCAGAGCATCGATCAATCAAATACACTGTGACATGTCATAATCGACATCAATTCCTCGGAATTCGGAAGAAAAACTGAACTGATGCTTTTCAAATTCATGAAAAATGGTGTATCCTTCTAATGATTTAGATACAGTGTGACCTTTGATCATTAGAACGAATCTGTGTGTAAACGGGTCCGTGGCGCAACGGATAACGCGCCTGACTACGGATCAGGAGATTGCAGGTTCGAATCCTGCCGGACTCGATGACATTCCTTTTTGCATCATTCCTTTTTGCAAGTTATATACGTTTATACATGAAAACGAACGAAATTTGTTTGAATTTCGTTTCAAAAATGGCTTAAAAAGTCTAGTGCATAATAATTTCCATAATAAGATTCTTTTATGTATGCTTCACCTTGATCGAGTATGTTCCCTCTAAAGGCAGCAGAAGTTGATTACAAATATTTCGATGAATCTAATGTTTTGGTGAGAGGCCTTAATTGCAAAACGAAAGTGGTTGAAGAAGCATTTAAAATATTTTCGAAAAATATTCATACAACAATTGATAGTTAAATTAATATTTCTTGAAGATATAAAAACAAATTAAATTCAATTCTATAAAAAATATTCAAAAATCATCGAAACGATGGCAGCGATGAACATTGAAGGAGACAAAAAGAGGTGAGAAAAAAAAGAATCTCCCCAGCAGGGAATCGAACCCTGGTCGCCCGCGTGACAGGCGGGAATACTAACCACTATACTACTGAGGACTTGTGAATATTCGAATCCAAAGAGCTCACAGATCGGCCTAGATCATTTTCAAAACAATGCGGTTCTCATCTACAAACACGATGTATGTGGTCAAGCCCTAATTCATG